TGAATATACATAATCTAGCCACTTAACAATTATACAATAAGAATATATGCATAGTTACTAGTCCATAAATAAATCCAAACTGTTACCATTCATTATTCTCATCGGGATATAACAGAATTAAGATTAATGTGATTTCTTTTTGGGTATTTTGTATTTGGATTCAATGTTAAATGGTTTTTACAAAAATTCCATTTTATTATTCAAATGTTGGTTAGTTATATTACTGTTATATTACTCAATTCTATACACAGTAGAAATTAGAAAAACTAATTTATTCATTAGATTGTCTACTTCATTTTGAGTTACTTTAGGAAAGATGTGACTAAATTCACTTGGTGTTGTTTTACTTGTATCTTTCCATTGTTTTTTTAGGACTGCAATTGATCAGTCTCTTGTTGGCACATGAGCATCCTGTGCGGATTGCTTCGATATACTCTTAAGTCACAAGCTTGATAAGCAAAGATGGATAGTGGCTAGCAGTGGAATCCAGTGTGACGCGTGTTTCGTCCTATTTGGGACTCGTCAACTGGATGTACCTGCATCCCAGAGTTGATGTTCACTACAGGACTCGAACCCAGTACCGTTCGCTCCAAACGCCATCGTGTTATCCACTTATCTACCGAGTACTGATAGTCACCTGCTTGTGCAGTGGGGTGAAGTTTAAATTCACTTTGCTTAAAAAGATGTGAATTAATGTTAAAAAGAAAATTTTGTATATCCGTAAATTGGCTTGATTAGTTATCAGCCAAATCAAGGCAGTATTTCAGTTTCATTGTTAACATCATATAATGACCCTTGTTAAACAACCATCGAAAGCCATGAGACACTGAAACTCTATGATAGTTTGCATCCACGATTCTCCCACCAGAGGTTAAACCTTCTGTCTCAGATGTAATTAACTTAACCTCTGAACCACTGAGCTAAAGAAATTTCAAAAGTCTCCATCTTTATATTCAGTAATTTACTTGTTGAGAATCGAAGTGAATACTAACAAGATTGCATTTTCATTCTAGTTATGAATTTTATAACTGACAGGTGTATAATTATAAGTTAATTGGTACCACCTGAGTATTCACTTATTTAATTATTGATAAACCATACAAGTAAATGAACAAATTATTATCCATAGACTTTCACCCTGAGGAGATTATATTCTATAAAAACATATCGTCGAAACGTATTTTTTACCTAATTGAAAATACTGTTTGAGCTACTCAATCCCACGAATAAAATGTGAATAAAACGAATGATTTTAAGACGACATTATAGGACTAAAAATGTTCTATTTGTAAGAATCATTTAGTGTATTTGAAGCTTACATTATTACTATCTAATATAATAAAAAAAGATAAGTAAGTAAATGATACTATTTATATGTATATGTTATCTATGAGTTCTTCTTACCGTTTACCCGCTCGAAGTACAAAATGTTGCTTCACGATTGGATTGCATCGACACCTGAACTAATGATAGGGAATGAAGTAATTGGGCGTGTCAACAGCTTCACTTATCTTGGAAGTTTCATCAGCCCTTGTGGTCTAATGTGTGACGAAATCTCGGCATGGATACAGAAGGTTCGACAAGCTTTTGCAAACTTGTTATTTATGGCGTAGGCGAGTTATCCATCTATCAACCAAAGGACGGGTTTAGTGCGCAGCAGTTTGTTCCGTCCTACTTTATTGGAGTGAAACATGGTCGGTAAGAGTAAAAGATATTCGTAAGTTGCTAGTATTTGATGATAGGTGTCTTCGAAACATCACTCGTATATCCTGGGACCATGGAGTACGTAACCCAGTTGTTAGGAAACATGTACTAGTTAAGGATGGAAAACCAATTAATGAAGAAGTGAAACGTCATCAGTTGAGATGGCTAGGACATGTGTTACGTATGCTCAACCAGCAACTGCCCCGACATGTGATGTTTTATGGTGTAGGAGTAGGTTGGAAGAAAGCTAGGGATGGCTAGACCAAAACATGGCACAAATTCATGACGTTACCGACAAGTGCACTGTGTGAGCCATGTTGGTAGGTGTAGAACACCTGGTTGGGATCCGCAAGATGATAGCAATCGACGGTAAGAGACTTTGAATGACATGGCTCGAAATCGTTTGCAATGGCGCAGGTGCATCCACTCTTTGTGTTCTCCCAAATTCTAATCTTCTGAATTCTTCTTGTCCCCATTTTTTTCTCTCTTTTCAAATTTATTTTATTGAATTATACTCCTTGAATAACATCTTCAAACCCCGATCATTCCAATTACTGTTTATACTTGTACTAACTGTACCACTATGAGATTTGAATAGACAACTGCATCTCTTTGCTAATGTAGTATAGCAACTTGAACTGATGTACGTACGTAGGAAGTTCAACTTTTTGGATGGCTTTGACAATAATATAAACTGTTTCAAATCGTTCATTATTATGCAACATCATTTTGCTGCTTATTCTAATTGAAGTTAATTCATAAAGTGACATATGACAGTTTATTCGTTTCATAATAAAATGTTCATGCATAGTTATCATAAATATGTTCCAGAATAAAACAATAGTTGTCTATCCGATATCAGCTAATTTATACAAAAGTACTTTTAACATGTAATTCACAGTTTTACTTTTATACAGGAATATATTGCCAATGGGTATTTTTCATTTTAAAACTTCACTCATTTCATAGTTTAGATATTATATTTATAAAGCAATTTTGTTTTAAAGGTCAAGTTAATTCATGAATGTACTTGTTTGCGTATAATTGAAGTATCCTGATAATGAAACTTTTGTGGAGGTCTGTTATTTAATCGTCATTTGAATCGAACAAATGTAGTCGAAAGGACTTTCCACTTTAGTGGCCCGTGGATCTGACCCCAAGGAGATTGTATTGATGATTGTTGTTGAAATATATATGTCGCCTATCCTCGTATAGAATCATCGACTTTAATCGCGTTAATTAATAACGGATTTAGATGAGTCAAATAACCAGAATGGATTTTTGAACACATATATTTTGTATATTAAGCGAATGGACACGTAGTGGAGATGGCGGGTAAGCCAACTCCCATTTAACCAAGCGTTAATCAATATTTATATTCACACAAAAATAAGTTACAGACATGTGATAAGAAATGTATACACACTTACGCGCTCATATAAAAACAGAGAAGATTGATATGCGAATAATTAACAAGGTCAGAATGTAGAATGAAAGTAGAATGAATAGAATGGGCTGTCCGAAAGTTAGAATTAGGTATATGGGCTTAACATAATAACCGATACTACAAAACATTCAGAAATGACTTATTACATTTTTCACTTTTAATTACAAGAATTACTTACTTACGCCTGTTACTCCTAATGGAGCATAGACCATCGACCATCTACTCCGTCCTGGGAATTACAAGAATAAGAAGCTAAATTTTGAAACAAAAGACGTAGTGTTTAAACTGTGAAATTAAAATTACTTTTTCATTAAATTACCCTTCCTTTCACAAATGATTTAATACTACTAATAGTATAAAATAAGTTGTGATTTGAATTGTTCAGTTCAATCATATGTAACTATAAAACTTAGCAGATTGAATTTGATACTCATTGAAAGTATCAATACAAGAAAGACTATAGTCATAATGTCTAATACCAGTTAACATGGAATGTACATTAACTAAGAATTATCACTGATTTATATCAATATTCAAAGATAATGGGTTACTAGAACATTTAATCCATGAAGTTTTGAGACATGTCAGTAGAAATTGACATTTACTTATAATTGACACAGATTTGCAATACAGTCTGTTCAGTTTTGTAAGCTTATTTAGATACTTCTAAATCTTTGAAAAGAATATCATTTTCGTGTCAATTACATATGAAAGAAGTGAGTATGATAGTATTCATAGCAATGGTGGAGAAGATTTATAGATCAGGTGAATGATTTGGATGGAGATTTTTTCTCTGAGCTGGATGGTTTGATTGTGGAGCTTTCATCATTCTTCTGAACGACGTGATCAACAAAAACCTCAAATAGAATTGAAGTGTTCCAACTTCTCCACATATGGCTCACGTTTTGCCTTGTTAACCTCGATCTTCTTTGGTAGGTCAACATTAATCAATGAAGATCAAGGTCTACAGGACAATTTATGGATTATATGTGGAGACATTTTAACACTTCACTTCTACTTAAAGTTTGTACTGATGATGTTGTTCACAAAAACGGTGAAAGAACTACGACCAAAACATCCAGCTCAAAGTACAAAACTACATCGAAAAGTATTCATAAAAATCAGGATCAATGAACAGTTATTTCTATTTTTAGTAATGTAAAAATTCACTTGATGTTGTTTCACTTGTTTCTTCCTATTGTTACTTAGAACTGTAATTGATCAGTCTCTTGTTGGCATATGTGCATTCTGTGCGGATCGCCTCGATATACTCTAAAATCACAAGCTTTTTAATTAAAGATGGATAGTGGTTAGCAGTAGAATCTACGACGCATGTTTCGTCCAATTCGGGACTCGTCAGGTGGATGCAACTGCATCTCAGAGTTGATGTTCACACCACTGCTAGCCACTATCCATCTTTGCCCATTAAGCTTGTGACTAGACTATATCGAGGTAATCCACATATGTTAATAAGAGACTGATCAATTGCAGTCCTAAATAACAATGGGAAGATACAAGTAAACAACACCAAGTGAATTTAAACTTGATCCCATTGTACAAGTAAGTGGCTCCCACGACTCAGTAGCTAAATGGATAACGCGATGGCATTTGAAGCGTACGGTACTGGGTTCGATCCCTGAAGTGAACTTTGAGATGCAAGTACATCCAGCTGACGAGTCCAAAAAAGAGGACGAAACGCGCGTCGTGGATTCAACTGCTAGCCACTATCTATCTTTTCTTATTAAGTAATGTAATATTTTAGTTCATTAATATATATGTTAATTTTATTATACTACTTTAAATTGTATTGGAAATGTTTAATATACATCTTTATTTGTTTATATTTTAGTGTATTTTTGAAGCAACAACTGTAGATGATTTTTGTGAAGAATTAAAAAATTTTGCTAATAATGAATGGAAATTATTAAATCAATTAAGAAATTTCATTTGTACTAACAATATTACTACCAATACAACAACAACAACTAGTACTAGTAGTAGTAGTACTACCACTACTACTTTTACCACAAATAACAATAATAATACAGTAACAACAAAAACAATTAACATTTTTACTACCCCTAATAGTAATGAAAACATTGTAGAATCTGAAAACATTCAATCAAATACAGAATTAAATGAGGTAAGTCCATTAATCTACAATAATGAATAATTCTATTTAACTTCATATTATAAATACTTCTTTATTAATGATGATTTCAGTAATCAGGTTCATATAATCATTTTTTAAACAAGAATTTTACAGTCATATCCTAATGAAGATTAGATTACGAATAACGTCTGAGATCTATCAATGGATTAATATTATCTATACAGAGTTCCTGAGAAGATTATCAATATTATCCGGAACTCATACGACGGACTACAGTGCAAGGTCGTGCATGGAGGACAGCTGACAGATACATTCCAAGTAAGGACCGGAGTCAGATAAGGCTGTTTACTCTCTCCCTTCCTCTTTCTTCTGGTGGTCGACTGGATTATGAAGACCTCGACATCTGAGAGAGAACACGGAATACAATGGACAGCTCAGAATCAATTAGACGATTTGGACTTCGCAGACGACCTAGCCCTCCTATCACATACACATGAACAAATGCAAATAAAGACAGCCAGTGTAGCAGCAGTCTCTGCATCAGTAGGTCTCAGTATACACAAAAGGAAAACCAAGGTCCTCAAATTCAAAGCGGAGAACAGCAATCCAATCACTCTTGATGACGAAACTCTGGAAGAGGTGGAATCCTTCACATAACTGGGAAGCATCATCGATGAACAAGGAGGTTCAGATGCAGACGTAAAGGTGAGGATTGGCAAAGCAAGGGCCGCATTCCTACAATTGAAGAACATATGGAACTCAAAACAACTGCCAACCAATAGTAAAGTGAGAATCTTCATTAGAACGTCAAGGCAGTTCTACTGTACGGAGCTGAAACTTGGTGAACTACAACAATCACCATCAAGAAGGTGCAAGTATTTATAAATAGCTGTTTACAAAAGATACTCAACATCCATTGGCTGGATGCCATCAGCAACAGCCTTCTGCGGGAGAGAACGAACCAGCTTCCATCTGAAGAGGAACTTAGGAAAAGACGATGGAAATGGATAGGACATACATTTCGCAAATCATCAAACTGCATCACGAGGCAAGCCCTAACTTGGAATCCTGAAGGGAAGCGAAAAAGAGAAAGGCCAAAGAACACATTACATCGGGAAATAGAAGCAGATATGGAAAGGCTGAATAAGAACTGGAAATAGCTGGAAAGGATTGCACGGGACAGGGTTGAATGGAGAATGCTGGTGAGCGGCCTATGCTCCTTCACGAGGAGTAACAGGCGTAAGTAAGTATATATTCTTATGGTATAACTATTTAGTAATTAGATTATGTATATTCCCCTTATTATAAGCTTCGTTTTGACTTATAATGTATTATTGTACGATTTACTGCCCCTAAATCATGCTCAGTTTATTAATTACTGTCTCCCATGTTCCCAGCCACTTTTTGGCGAATTTTATTTCCTATTTTATGGTGCGTTGAGGTCTATTTGGTCGATATGTAAATAATGATTCGCATATTGGAAGCTGGTATTAGTGTTCTGAACTCAACTGGATGGGCTAGGCAAACATAGGACTAATAAGAACGCTAAGCTGCTCATACCGGTCGAACGTCATTGGTTTGGCACAGTGTGAAGATTGTATAAATCGTATTTCGATTGACGGATAAATCACGTGACAATAAGCCGGACATAAATTCGCAACAGTTACCGGATGAATTTAGCCTGCTTTGAACATCTTGGTTACCTGTTCCTATCATCTAGATACTTCAACAAGTAATCTAATTTCATTACATCATTATGGTTATTAATCACATAAACAATTCAGGTGCGTTCGTGAAAAATGTACAACCTTTCTTTGTACAAGTTACATAAGGCCCAATCAAAGATACTGTGGTTGCTGCCAATGTTCATTGAAAAGAATATATACATTATTCAGATATCGATTGATTGGACTGCTAACTACTAACTGCCGATCACTTAATATTTATCGCCAGGATCGATCAAGAAATAAGAAACGAAAACTCGATGAAATACTTTGTGCTGAAAATTCTATGTTGTACTAAAAATATAATGTTGAATAAAGCCACTAATAGTAATAGTAATAATAATAATAATAATAATAATGGCCGAAGACATCATTTTCGAAATACAGGATTCATATCGCAGAGGTTGAGATTGGTGTTCTGGACTTAATTGGTTGGGCTAGGCGGTAAGCAGAACCGATAAGTACTCTAGACTGATCTCACACTGGTTTATGCATCACTGTTCCAATCGATAATTCACTGCTTTTTAATTAGTGCTATCATTACGTTATACATTATCAGGGCACGCAGGTCACTAGTTATAACAGATATGAAAAATACATCCAAAAAGATATCCTATACCTGAATATACAGATTCTTATTTGTTATTTTGCACTTATCAATAGTTATATGTATTTAATAATTGAATTCATGAGCCGTTGAAAGTTAGACCACCATGAAAAACCTGGGAGCACTGGATAGCCGTTTCGTTCTAGTGCGAATCCACGATCTCGCTCGTGGGTCTCGAACCTAGGATCTTCACTCGCGTTCGCGAACGCTTAACCTTTGACGGTGTCAATGTCTAATTTCAACCATCTTTATAAAAAATAACCAAAATGTGTAACATTTAACCTTGATTCATCAGTAAATTAATGCATTAGTACAATATACTACATTGTAAAATCAAAATATCACAACAAGCAAAGATTACTTATTTACTGAGTTGTATAAGTAATTCCTGTTAACATTATTCTCCTTTGTAATTGAATTTATGTGAATAGGTTTTTTATTGTGTATCAATTGGATGTGATGTCGGTATCTGTTTCCTCAATCATTTCGTTGATGTCGGTTTTCATAGCTTTAACCGATACACTAACATCTCGGATTATCCGTTATCAGTGACTAACTGATCAGCCGACAAATTTTTAGAACGACTTAAATATGTTAAGATCACCTGTTCATTTATAAATGACTGATCACTGGGTAGTAGTAGTAGTTGTTGTTGTTATGTATATCAAGTCATTCTTCGTACGGATAGAGTTCTGTCGATCAAGTTGTAATATGGTCATTAGTCACTAGGTAATTCGACAACGCGTGTACTTCGCTAAGATGTAAATTCACGTCGCGGAAAGCTCAGTTGTATCATCTCTGATTGTGAAGTTGGATAACAAAGGATTGAATCCGTCAGGCGCTATCAATTTCTCTCAAGATTACAAGTACTTCTTTTTTGATGAATACCAAATAGTATTAAGCATAGATCTAGTGTTTTTTTTGTCGATTAACTCCAACCAAATCCTCATAATTTATCTATTGTATGTTACTTTGATTGTTACATCTTATCAGTTTTGATAAAAGAAATCGAATAAAACTACGTTTAAATTTCATTCTGCATATGAGTTTTTCATTGATCATTATTCTTCAAAATTAGAATGTACACGAATCAGAGCATAGTTTGATCAGTTTCTGTTGTTATGTTTAAAAACACAATTCCTCATACCTAATTTTGAAGGCTTTAATTATCATTATCATTAAATGCGCAATTATTGCACTTAACTTGCTTGTTTTAAATTTGTTATGAATGAATCACTATAGATACTAACTGGAAGTACTCACATGGTAATTAAAAAGGATCACATATTGCTATGAAACTAAATACTAGAAACTCTAAACACTTTATAGGATGGGAAAAATTTTTATTGTAGAAACTAAACTGGTAACCAAACTTTCATGATTATATGAGGGTAGTGACAATTTTAAATTTTGAATTTATTTTGTATTGTTTGTTTGAATTTTTTCAATTGATGATTATAATTGCAATTGATCCATCTTTTATTGGCATACGTTCATCCTGTGCGGATCGTTTTCATATTACCTTACGTCACAAGCATTGTGAGCGAAGATGGATGGTGGCTAGCAGTTAAATTCAGGACGTGCGTTTCTTTCTATTTCAAAACTCGTCAGCTGGATGAACCGCGATGAACATCAACTCTGAGATGTAGGTCTGTCCAACTGACGAGTCCTAAACAGGACGAGATGCGTGTCCTGGATTCTACTGCTAACCATCATCTACCTTCACTTGTAATTTTAAATTATGTGTTGAATAATCACTATTTGAATATATACTTCAAGAAATTAGTACCGAAGTTTTTTGTGGCGAATAAAGCCATGATTATTAATTTCATACTTTGCATTTTAGATTTTCCCAAAAGATGAGTATAGATTTCAAATGAAATCAGAGACTAGACAGCCGACAATTAAAGAGTCCGTAGATAATGAAATAGCATCAACGGATGAACTGAAAGTCAATGTTATTGATTCAGTCACTGTGCTACATGAGCAAGGAAAGTAAGTTTACTGTTATTATCAAATATTGTATAGCATCTTATTTGAGATAAATATAATTGAAATTTTAATTATAATAACAATGCGTGTATCTAGAAAGTAATAATATACTATATGCAACAAGTGATATATATATGAACCATCCGTTTTTTGGATTTTATTGAAGTCACGAACCGATCTATGTTAGACCACCATCGAAAACCTGGAATCACTGGACGGCCGTATCGTCCTAATGTGGGTCTGCTCAGCGATTCCCATCTACCACACTTTATACAGGACTCGAACCTAGGACGAACGCGTAAACTTTAGATCATTGAGTCTGCATCAAACCGTGTTGACATCTAACTTCAATCAATTTACGACACTGTGTGACTATCTTGTATTGTTTTAGTTGGTTAACTGCTTCATACGCTACACAGATTTGCTCCACTGGTTAAGGTTACTTACTGGAACTCCAGGAATTTCCTCTCAAGATTGGTCACTAATGGACACATTATAAATGCCAGTAAGTGGTTACGGAAATTGCCGAATTTCATTGACAGACAGTTTCATAAAAGACGCTAAGTAATTAGAAATAATATTGGTGTTGTGAACCGACCAAATTTGGTTATCCGCTGAAAACTAAAAAGCAGTTTATAGCTGTTTCGAACTATTATGAAACGCCTTTGCAGTACGCATCAAACAGATCGGAGATCATTGGCCCAAACTGTTGTAACGGGTGGATTGCAGATTAGATGCGCAGTGTTTTATTGATCGATTCAGTGACACGTAAACACGTACGGACGACCTAGAGTCTCGATTGGCCCTACTTCGCTGTCTAACCCAGCCAGTTGAGTCCAGAACACAAGTCACAGCCTCTGAAATATGAATCATTATATTTCAAACATACTCTGTTTATATACCAACCAAACAGACCACATCGTACCATAAAACAAGAAAACAACATCTGTACAATATTTAACGAGTGAAATAAATAATGGCCAATAGGGAATGTCCATTTAAAGTCCAAGGACATCATTAGACTTAACATGATAATGATTGATACATTCCTCTGCATCCCTAACAAAAACAATAATTACTTACTTACGCCTGTTACTTCCAATGGGCGATAGGCATCCAACAAACATTCTCCAACCCACTCTGTCCTGAGTCTTCATTTCTAGTTCTATCCAATTATTATTCAGTCTTCTCATGTCTGTCTCCACTTATCGGCATAACATGTTCTTTATTTTTCATCTTCTCCTTTGACATTGAGGATTCCATGTGAGGGCTTGTCTTGTGACGCAGTTGGGTGCTTTCCTCAATGTGTGTCCTATCCACTTCCAGCGCTTCTTCCTCATTTCTTCCTCCACTGGAATCTAGTTTCTTCTCTCCAATAGTAGGTTGTTGCTGATAGTGTCTGGTCAACGGATCCGAAGTATTTTGCATAGACAATTGTTAATAAACACCTGTATCTTCTGGATGATGGCTTTTGTAGTTCTCCAAGTTTACGCCTGATACATTAGAACTGTCTTGACATTTGTATTGAAAATTCTGAGTTTGATATTGGTTTAGAGACAGTTGTTTTGAGTTCCAGATAATCTTCAGTTGTCGATATGTTGCTCTTACGTTGTCGATTCGTGCCTTCACATCTGCATGAGATCCACTGTGCTCGTCAACGATGCTACCCCGATATGGGAAGGTTTTTACATCTTCCAAAACAATATCTATCCAATAATTCATACAGTAAAAACTATGAAATTAGGAAATACAAGGAAGTCTTTGGCACTAATACATAATAAACATCTTGCTTAGTGTTGACTGTGGTTAGAGACGTAAGTCATTAAATGTTAACTTAATAATTTGAATGACAAACACATACTAAAAGACCCTGAGGTGTCCTTGCTTTGAATCCTGGTGAATAAATGAGTGTCCATTGCTGAGTACTTCAACTTTAAGATAAACCAGCTGTAGAGATTTCTGCTTCCTAATAATACTCCAACTGACATTAGTCTGTGATAACTATGATCTACAAACATAAACATTATAAATTTATTCTAAATACTATTCACGATTGATGTATGGGCGAGAATGATAATGATTGGTTATCTGCTTAGTCAAACATGCAGATAGTCTGACAGGTGTCAGATGAGTTTTATTTTCCCTTATCCTTATTATTATTATTATTGATTGTTCATTGTTGTTGGATTGTGTCGAGTTTTGGTGTGGAAATATATTTACTTTCTAGTCAGGCTAATCACGTGTTCATGATCTGAGTTGTGTTGAAGTCCTGTAGAATCAACATTAGGAAGGAAATCTACTGTAGATATTCGTCTAAGGTAAATTAACGTCCCATACGTATAAACGTGGAAACCCAACTACTATAACCGAACGTTCTAACAACGATACAATGATTATCAAGTTCGATATTAATTTATTATTATTATTATTATTATTATTAATTTTTGTCCATCTAACTTTCAGTTTTCCATAGTTTCCCATATGTATAGATGAAAACTGCGTGTACACATAATAAGTATTACACAAAATGTCACTTTCTTTCATGTCAGTTTATTAGACTTATGAAAATTTGATAAATTTCATTATATTACCAATGTGTATCCTTTTTATTTTTATTTTTACATGTTTGTAACTATGCGCTTTTGTGTCCGATCTTGTGTGTGTGTGTGCGTGTGCGTGTGTGTGTGTGTATATATATGTGGTTGTTAGTTTTGAAAAAATAAATAAATAAAAATTCCACCTTTCACATGAACTGATTTATATGCATAGATTTATGCGTATATATATATATATATATATTATTGATCTATCCTGAAAATAGATTCTTTATAATTTATTATACTATAGTGATATTTCTAAAACAACAACAACAACACAAAAAACACAATGATAATGTTATCATGAATTCAGTTTAATTTGATTTTAAGATGATGGTTGAAGGTACTCAACAGGAAACCGTGAATTTATGTTCCGTGCTATTTGTCACTCGTCAGTAAGGTGTATCTGTAATCTTGAAAGAATTGGTGTTTTTTGATGATTTCAATTCCGTGTCACCCAGTTTCATAGTCAGAGATGTTACTACTGAGCTATACGGATCGTGATTAACCTCCTGTAGGACTGAGATGTATTCACAGTTGATTGATCAATGGTTGGTAATCAATGTCATGTTTTTCAGGTCCTTCTTATTGACTAGCTCCAACCATCATCATAACTCAACATAGTGTACGCAACGTCGAATCAATTAAACTAGTGGCCACATTGCAACTTGGTCAATAGGATTCGTTATGCACTAAGAAAGACCCGACATACATGACATTGGTCGCTACTCAATGACCAATCAATTGTGATTAATTTGATTTTAGTTATCTTAGATTAATATGCACAAAATGAGATGAGTTGTTTAATCTTAAAATACCTGTCTTTCATAGCAGTTTTATACTCTTCTATATATATTTAACTGATATAAAACATTTTAGTGACGTATATAAGGTCTTACGTCTACAAATGTTAAGATGTGTGGTGGTACGCTCCGTGTTCAACGAGTAGTAGAATGAAGCTATCAACTAGGATTTAAGTTTATATATATATATATATATAGTATCACGTAATTTCCATCACTTCAAACAATCATTCCTTGTCTCATTTCAAATGATATAATTTATTCAAATTAAAAATGATGCAATATTTTTCTAACTACTTACATCTATACTGGACCCTGAACTCACTGAACGACCGTTTCGTCCTATTGTGGTACTCCTCAGCAGTGATCATCCACGATCTCAGCTCTCGAAATTCAAACACGGAACCTATCGCTCTCACGCTTTCGCGCTTAACTTCTAACATCAATTGAACCATACTATTTTGACTACAAATTTTAAGCCTGGACGGTGTTTCACTCTCCTATTAAACAGGATTGAGCTATACTGTATTGAGTTATCACATGAAAGTCTGAATGATGTTTAATTCTCCTAAAAATCAAATGTCAAAAAATACCCTAGCTCACAAGAATATATTATATAACATCTTCTTCCTGTTATTGTTGTTCTTTTTTTCTTCTTTCAACTCAGGAAATTTAGAGAATTTATCTCCGTACGAAAAACTAGAAACTCAGGTATGTGGTAGTTTTCTAATTAAAAAAAAAATTTTTTTTCAATTTTTTTTATTGATTTAATGTGAGGGGAAAAAATTTTTTTTTAATGAATTTGATCATTTAAAAAAAAAAAAAGAAAAAAACAAACAACAACGTTTTATAGAGATGTAAATGTATTCTCTTTCAATTATATTTTAAAAGTTGGTAAAATGTTATTGTTTAATGATAGAGTTGAATTAATTTACAATCAAATTAGATTAGATGGGTTAGTGTGTTATTGGTTTGTTTGTTTGTTTTTTTTGTTGTTGTTGAAAGTGAGTTAGTTTTCTATGCATCAATCAAATCATATTTGATGGAGAAGTTTTGGAAGATGTAGAAAGTTTTTAGTCAGTTAGTGATAACGTAGACTTCGTATGTAAGTACATTAATTCGAATTGCTATACTACATTAGCAAACGGATGCAATTGTCTATTCAAATCCCCTAGTGATAGAGGTAGTAAAAATATAAGCAGTAATCTGAAAGATTAGGGTTTGAAGATGTTATTCAAGAAACATAATCCACTGAAATAAATTTGAGAAGAGAAAAAGGAAAGGGACATGAAGAATTGAGATTAGAATTTGGGAGAACACAAAGAGTGGATGCACCTGAGACATTGTAAACGATTTTGAGCCATGTCATTCAAGGTCTCTTACCGTCGATTGCTATCATCTTGCGGATCCCAACCACATAGTCTATACCCACCAACATGGTTCACACAGTCCACTTGTCAGAGACTTCATGAATTTGTGCCATGTATTGGTATGGTCGCCCCCTTTGATTTCTCCCAAACTACTCCTATCCCACTGAACATCGCACGTCGGGGCAGTCGTTGGTTGGGCATACGTAACACATGTTCCAGCCATCTCAACTGATGACATTTCACTCCCTCATTAATTGATTTTCCATCCTTACCCAGTACCCATTTCCTATAAAGCTGTAGAAAGCTTTATATTTCTGGGAAGAATCATTGATTAACACGATGAATCTGATACAGATACGAAGGCACGGATCGACAATTCAAGAACAGCATATCTACAATTAAAGAATATCTGGAACTAAAAGCAACGGTCTGTAAACCAACACCAAACTCAGAATTCCCAATGCGAATGTCAAGTCAATTTTACTGTATGAGGCGGAAACCGGGAGAACTACGAAAGCCATCATCCAGAAGATACAGGTGTTTAATAACAGATGTCTATGCTTGCTTGATCATCTGGGCTACCTGTTCCTGCCATCTAGATATTTCAACAAGTTATCTATTTTTGTTTGTTTTAATATATCATTACGTTTATTAATCGGATAACCTATTCTGCCGCGTTTCTCAAAAGTGTACAACCTTTCTTTATCAAAGTTACAAAAAACTCAATAAGAGACATTGTGGTTGCTGGCAATGTACAACGAAAAGAATGTACATTATTCAGATGTTCAATTAGTGAACTGCTAACATCTAACTGGCGATCACTCAATATTTATCGCCAGGACCGACCAAGAAGAAAGAAACGGAAACTTGTTGAAATACTTTGTGCTGAGAATTCTAATATTGTACCAAAAATATAATATTGAATAAAGCTGATAATAATAACAATAAAAATCATAATAATAAACTCCGGATCCGTTGGCCAAATAGCATCGCAAACAACCTACTATGGGAAAGAACAAACCAGATCCCATTGGAGGAAGAAATCAGAAAGATGCGCTAGAAGTGAATGGGACACACGTTGAGGAAAGCACTGAACCTCTTCACAAGGCAAGCCCTCAATTGGAATCCTCGAAGCGAAAGGGGAAGATGAAGAATAAAGAACATATTATGCCGATAAATGGAGACAGACATGAGAAGACTGAATAACAATTGGATATAATTAGATAGGAAGGTGCAGGACAGAGTATTTTAGAGAATGCCTATTCTCCATTGGGGGTTACAAGCTTAAGTAGGTAAGTATGTAAGTAGTATAAACTGAGAATTATGATACTGGAAATAGTACGTTATTGAAGTAGAATGTACTCTATTTCTAGGTGAACCATTTCAGACAGAACAACCACCTGAATAAGTTATATTTAGTCAAAAGTCACGATCTTCTTCAAATTACTTTTACTTTCTTTTTTAATATCCATTTCTGAGGTGATATTTCTAGGGTCCAACAAAGTGATGAAATGAGTTGGCAGGGTATATAGTTGCGATTTTCAAATTAAAGTATTCAATATGTTAACATCAACAAACAGCTATTTTGTATTTGATTAAAACTTAGTAAACCCTAATGATTACACCTATACTCTTCAAACATCACTTAAAGCACTATCTCATTGATCTAGATAAATATTTTATTCACCTTATTTGATTTCTAATTTTAAAGATCTAGTTATGATGCCCATTATTTTGTTAAATAGAAGATGTGGAATATATTCATTATATGTCAACATTGACATTTCAATGAATCTACGAAATAGTTTTTTCTGAGGTGATAGCGAATATTTGTAGCTCAGGTGGATGATTTTGATGGAGTTTTGTTCTCTGAGCTGAATAGTTTGGTCATAGAGCTTTCATCATTCATCTGAACGACATCATCAGTACAAACTTAAGATAGAAATGAAATGTTCGAATTTCTTCATATACGGTTCACAGCTTGTTCTGTATACCTCAATGTTGATTGGTTCTTGTTGAACTTAAACCTATCATTGTTTACTTCTTTGTTTTGATTTTTCTTTCTCAGTCACTGAACTCAAACCTCGAGTCATAATTCATTCACATTGTTTTAGATAATAATATACCGAATTGAAAATCATCTAATTTTGTAAGTATGAACAATCCTTTGGAAATGATCTAAATAGTAAATATAACTAAGTGATGATAAATAACATAACTAAAATTATTTGATTCAACACTTTTAATGATTGAATGTAAAAAAAGAAACAGATCAACTGATTATCCAAAATTAAATATGATTAACAATCAATTTCTAACATAAAACAGTAGTATATTGCTGTAATCATTTACTAAACCATTCGAATAACAGATCTATCTCTTACTTACTTACTTACTTACTAACTTACGCCTGTCACCCCTCGTGAACGAGCATAGGCCGCTCACCAGCATTCTCCATTCAACCCTGTCCAATGCAATCCCTTGCAGCTCCTTCCAATTGTTATTCATCCTTTTCATATCTGATTCTATTTCTCAACGTAATGTGTTCTTTGGCTTTCCTCTTTTCCTCTTCCCTTCAGGATTCCAAGTTAGAGCTTGCCTCATGATGTAGTTTGATGATTTGCGTAATGTATGTCCTATCCATTTCCATCGTCTTTTGCTAATTTCTTCTTCAGCTATCTGTAGATTTCAGAAAACAAGAATGATTCAATGTTGAATGAAATAATCTTTCGAAAAAATATTCAATCTACTGTCTATGTATTGATACTGACTGATAAGTAAGACTATAATATATGGACATTTTTTGAACAACGCTAGAATGATCTTGAAAACGTCCACCTACTTACCACGATTAAATGAGGGTTAACGGTTAATATGAGGAACTGGGATTAGGATTTACAGCTGAATGTTAAGATTAAGAATTAGATCACGAACTGACATAAACTATAATGCCAAAACGCCATTAAGCCAAATGAACGAATTAATTTCGAGTCTAAATTGAAAACGTGCTATCTTAAACCAGATTGGTTCATTTATAAATTATAGTTTCACTCATTTCCAAAAAAACTATATAATCAGAGATGGGTTTTTGGGGATATTTTAGTGATTTAATACTTGAATTCGTGAGTTAATTGAAGTTAGACCACCATGGAAAACCTAAAAGAACTGGACGACCGTCTCGTTCTAGTTTGAAACTCTTCAGCTGTATGCATTGACGATCCCGTCTCGCGAGACTCGAACCTAGGACCGATCAGTCTCGCGCGCTAATGCTTAACCTCCAGACCACTGAGCCAACATCCAATAGTGTTAATATCTAATTTTAACCAATCCACAAAGTTGGGTTCAAATCTCATGAGGCAGAATCATGGATGCGCACAGTTGAATAGTCTTATACACTGAACGGAATCGCCATCTAGCTTCAATTGACTCATGAATTCATCTATTAAATTAATAAGTATATGTTTGGATTTTTCAACAACATAAAAAGCAAACTGATTTTAACACAATCTATTATGATCCTTTTTACTAAAACTTCCATTGAAATTACTTCAAATGATTGTGGACGGAATAGAAGAAGCTTTCGTTTAACAAGCTTCCGTGTCTAGTAGCAGAGGATCACGAATAACTTCAGGCAGGAACCTAGGTATGTTAACGATAAAAGAGGAAAAAGAAATTGGTAAATCATAGTATGATACTATCCTTAGTGTTTAAGAATAGATCAAGTTGCCTCTTAAAGGACTCCTTGGAAGTCGCTTGAACTAGCTCGGCCGGAAGCGATTTCTAGCATTTGATAACTCTTAAGGAGTAGACATTGTGTCTACAGTCCGTTCTGCTATGTTGTATCTTAGTTGATTATTCTATAAAAAAGAAGAATGATATAGCAACAACCATTTACCTATTTCAACATGTGCACAACATGCAATGATATACATTCATGTCATAAATAACAAATACTTTTTTTTAAAACATGGCTGAATTTATTAAAGTAAATTAAAAGTTTTCAAATTCATCATCATTCTGTTGTTCATTTTTACACCAAAAAGTTTTTGTTTTTGTATATTTTTTAAGAAAGAAAAAAGGTTTTTGTTCTAAGGTTTAAGTAATAAACAAAATCACATTTTAACTATTAAAATATAAAAAAATTAAAATAATGAAGAAGAAGAAGAAGGAAAAAAATGAGAAAAGAAAAGAACATAAATGAAATTAAACTACCCTATACGCTGACGCCATTGTGATCGATTCTGAGTCACGTCACACACAGTCTCCAACTATTGGTTACGATAGTCATGTGGACACCAACCAAGTAGTCTGCATCTATCTACATGGCTCAGACTAGAAGCAAATGGCTTCAATGACTGATGCTACGTATTGGTTTGGCTGCACCTAACGTTCTTCCAACCATCTCCAACACTAGTTAGCATTACGCGTCATGATAATCGGTGTTCAGGCGTACATAACACGTGACTCAACGATCTCGGTTGATGAAGATTCACAACCTCATCAACTGATTTACTATCATTCCTTAATACCCTGTATCTAACCTCACTATTATTTACCCGGTGATTCCAGAAGATGCGAGCAATATTTCAGAGACATCTGTGATCGAACCCTGACAAATTACGAGTATCGTCTACTCTCAATGGCCATAAAGTAGAACAGAACGAACTGCTGCGCAGTATAGTCATCCTTTTATTGATAGATGGATATCTCGCCTTCGCTATACGTGATGTACGTTGGTAAAAGCCAAACGAACCTTTTGAATTGGTGCTGAGAATTCGTCAGACACCAACCCATTAGGGCTGATCAAACTTCCAAGATAAGTGGAGTTGTCGACGCGTTCGATTTCAGTGTTGAATTAAATTGGACCATGTAGTGTCAAGATTTTGATTCTTGTTAATTTTTGTAAATGAGTTTTTCTGGGTTGACTTTAGTTGAGAGTTAAGATCTTCTTGAAGTTATAGATTGTCTCTGATATAATATGAATAGATTAGAATTATGATTTATTAACAAAAAGAATGAGAAAAATTAAGAATTATTTCTTCTGGTGTTCCATGTTTCCATGAGAAGCTAGAGTATACTTACAATCACGGATCATTGGGTAGTGACCAGTGTCATGTATGTCAAGTCTTTCTTTGTGCTGATTGAATTCTCGATGTAGTCCACTTTGATTAGTGGCTACATCTAAACTTGGTCGATAGAATTTGATCATTGCTAAGAACGATCTGACAAACACGATACTGGTCACTGCCCAGTGATAAATTAGTTGTAGATATATCTGAATGCTAAAGAAGGTCAATTACTGCCCGATTAGCTCATTGGTAAAGTCTTTAAATGTGAGAGTGAGTGACAAGAGATCGAATCCGCCAAAAAGCATTATTTTTATCACGATTAAAAGTACCTATTGGTGATGATTGCCTAATAACACTGTTTTCTGTTGCCTACTACAAACTAACACCTTACAGTGGGAATATAAGTATACAATACCTACTTTGTAAATGTAAAGAATTTTTATTGAGTCAAAATATAGCTGTTTGCATAAAATCTCAACCAAACTTAAATTTCAATAGAGAATAATCTTGTGCTTTGTGCCATTGTAATAAGTAAATTGCTCAAAATGATCATGCAAACTACATAGAAGAATCGATCAAAATCGAAGGTAGAAAAATATATCAGTGATGTAAAATGTTGATATTAAGTTAATCAACCATATTAATTACTTGTTTTTCTTTCATGATCAGTAACCCATTACTTAAAGCAAAGATCTTGTATCTCAATACATTACCAGTGAATAAACTAAAACACTGTGTTAACTTAGATGAGTAGTTTTCTGAAGTTTTACCCATTGGAGGATAGTTATCATTCTGTACCCTGATAAATCAGTTAAGTAGATTGGCATAGAACAGCTATAGTTTTGAATTCTTTTTCATATAATTGTGTAGTGAACGAGAACATAAGTGGGGACAACCAAATGTATTTGAATACAAAATCACAGAGCATCTTATTAAAATCTGAGAACAATACAGTAAAGTTCCAACCAATAGTCCCGGACTTTATTGTTCTTTCGTTTCCACACCAATTAACCTATGTTCTCGTTCTTTTCCTTCGATCTTCTTAATCTTCTGTCGCCTGACATTTCACTTTTGATTAGTGATACATACTACTTATATCTGTTGACATCAGTAGCACACAACACAATAAGACAATATGGTTCTACATTTCATTTATACATACATTCATTATTGTACTTATATCAAAAGCGATCAAAACAGATGAACATCTCGTTAAATGTTAAAAAAATATACTAAAGTATTAACATTTGTAAAATATATGTTGCTCACTATCTAATGAACACATTAATCTCTTTAAAGTTTACTATGAAACCCAGTGTGATTAGTTGAAAGCGTTTTAGTTTATGATATTAGAATGAATTATTTGTTTATTGACTACTCTTTTGATAATTCATAATCAGAAGGGGTTTTTGTGGATAGTATAGTCTAGTTTTAATTGACCCATGATCTCAACTATTAGAAAAATCACCATAATATCCACATAAACCTCTTCTGATACTAATCAACATATGCTCACTAGTAACTGCCTTCAAGAGTCATTTCTTAGAGTTCTAGTGAGAAACTGTGATCAGTGGTATTCAACCGTGTTTGTTGTGAGGGAGTGACTCATTGAAGACAATGGTGGATGTGTCGCTCAATTTCGTGGATTAGTTGAAGTTAGACATTAACACCGTTGGATGCCGACCGGCTCAGTGATTTAGAGGTTAGGGGTTCGCATGTGAGATCGATAGGTCCAGGGTTCAAATCCCCCGAGCGGGATCGTGGATGTACACTGCTGAGGAGTCCCATGATAGGACGAAACGATTATCCAATGCTTGCAGGTTCTCACTGGTTTAGCTTCAAGTGATTCAACTATTGAAATTCATAACGATTTCAAATTACATAATAATTCTCGTAAATCTTTGTTTCATAGGTTGGTTTTACTTACTTTTATTGAAAATTATATCATGTTTATTATCATCATCATTAGTTATAATGTTGACCAGATATTATTTCTCGTTTGATAACGTTTCATGTTTTTGATGGAGTTTTGTTCTCTGAGATGGATGGTTTGGTCGTGGAGCTTTCATCGTTCTTCTGAACGACATCATCAGCACAAGCTTCAGATTGATAAACTTCTCAGAGAACAAAACTCCATCAAAATCATCCACCTGAGCTACAAATCTTCTACACCATCTCAACGTTTCGTGTGATTATATCACTTTATAATACCAAGACATTTTCATACATTTGAAACTATGAATAAATGGACTACTAATGTAGTTTTTAATTTTTGAGATCAGTGAAAGATTAAAACAGTCATCAAAAAGATCACATAATATTACATAAACTACAAATATATCCATTTTCATATAACAAATCTTATTGAAATGGTAGAGATGATTTGTAGATCAGGTAAATTATTTTGATAGAGTTTTATTCTCTAACCTAGATGGTTTAGTCGTGGAGCTTTTAACCTTTCGAAGGACAAATCATATTTTCCTAAAGTCTTCAGCAATATAGATTAATGTACTAGAGTACCTGTTACTTACTCACTTACGCTTCTTACTCCTCGTGAAGGAGCATAGGCCGCTCACCAGCAATCGCCATCGAACCCTGTCCTGGACAATCCTTTCCAACTTCTTCCAGTTGTTATTCGTCTTTTTCACATCTGCTCCTATTTCCCGACGTAATATGTTCTTTGACCTTCCACTTTTCCGCTTCCCTTCAGGATTCCAAGTTAGGGCTTGCCTCGTGATGCAGTTTGATGATTCGCGTAATGTATGTCCTATCCATTTCCATCGTCTTTTCCTAATGTCTTATTCAGCTGGAAGCTGGTTTGTTCTCTCCCACAGAAGGCTGTTACTGACAGTATCCGGCCGATGGATGTTGAGTATCTTGCGTAGACAACGTTTTTATAAATACTTGTAATATTTATAGTACTTGTACAGTAGAACTGCCTTGACGTTCGTATTGAAGATTCTCACATTGATATTGGCTGAAAGTTGTTTTGAGTTCCATATGTTGAGTTCTACTCAATTGATTATTCAACACTAGTGTACCTGCAAAGGCATACAAATGAAAACAACAAATAACGAGATACATGTTTACAATTCTAATCACTTTTAAAATTATTAATGCTTATTATTACGTGTGTTTTTATATACTTTTAACTGACATCAATACACTCTATATTCATTTTGGGTACAATGTTTTTATATTTATCTATTTGTGATTTGTTTTATAGATACAAACAATATTGTTGGTTTAAGTGCGTTATTACATTCTAGATGTCCGGACTTTTCGTCACCAATGTGTAAAGTGAGTTTCATAGATATTCTTAGTTATTGTTCACATAATTCCCAATTTTGAATTGTAGTCATAAAGTTATTTATCGAATAATTAATAACTTATCCTTTAATGTATATATATAGGAGGCAGAAAAACACAGTCAATACAGTCTGTGTGACACCACTAATTACTTACTTACGACTGTTACTCCCAATGGAGTATAGGCCGCCGACCAGCATTCTCCAACCCACTCTGTTCTGAGCCTTCATTTCTGGTTCTATCCAATTGTTGTTCATTATCCTGATGTCTGTCTCCATTTTTCTCGACGTAATGTGTTCGTTGGTGTTCCTCTTCTTAAATATATTTACTAAATATATATTTTGAAAAAATAATGAACCTATTAGTTCCATTTAATTACTTGCACTAAACAGTGTAGGGTTTCATAAAAACTTAGTAACTACACAAACTACTGTTATTTGAATTAGTAGTATGTTTCAATTGTCTAAAATCAAAGTATTTATGACAATGTAAACATAAATGAATGTAATACATCAATATAAAAAATACACAATCCGATTAATGCTAGTGGAGGTTAACTGTTGAACTCATGTTAACACACTAGGTATATAGCCTACTATCCCCGAATACCATCACTGCTCTCCACTTGAATGTTGATATTTTTCACTCGATAATGTGTTACATTATATAGCTTGTATCTTTATGTCAAAGTAACTTCCAGTTAATAATTTGTGGTTCGGTAAATTTTAGTGTTTTGCCTGTTAATATCAGAAATTCATTTACTTTGAATCTCTCTCAGCTCGCATCATTCACTGACTTGACCTGGACAACTAAATAAAACTAGACATCTAATTCATCCTGGTATAGAAGACTTATTACCTTTAAATAGTTATTTATCCAAATATTATCTGAAAATAATAAGGACAGTTAGTTCTCTTGATTTACTGTGTCAGCCATCTACATATACGTTTGGTATTTTCCTGATTTTTCTTGTTTATATTTTGTACACTAGATGGTTGTTTCAAAACTGAAAAGAAAACAGGTTTACAAGTCATATTTATTATATATATATATATATATATATTGGTACAAAGGGGCGCCGAATACATATGCGCCACACAAACCATTCTATTTGTGTGTGAGCTGTAATACTGCCCAGGTGTCCAGATCAATTCAGATGGTTTTCTTAGGGAGCTACGCCCCGAGCGTTCGACCTAAAGGTCTGATCCACAAAGCAGTGGTGCTACGTCAGGAGATGCAGTCCCATAGTAGCCAGTGACCAAGAATTGGTTCATACGTCATTTGTCCCTTCAGGATACTCGAACTCATGTGCACCATTGGTTTGGAATCAGTATTTTCCAACTCCTCTAGGTTGTAAACAATACCCCTGCCTCAAGAAGGCAGTGAGTAGGACTCCCTTGGTAGTGCCTGTATACACGTGGCCATGTGAGAACATTTCGAAATGGTGAGATGACTCTCCTCACCCTCGACCGTATCATAGCATTTGAGGGTTACAAATCATATTATTGAAAACAGTTGAATAATTCGGTTAAAATGTTCATAAAATTGATTTTACTTTGTTTTTTTATTTCAGGTAATTGGAATTTTGAACTCTGCACGTGTTCGCAGTCCATTACCAGTAGCAAAAGATTTACAAAAAGCTATTAATTTAATATGTAGTTCAAATGTATTTGTTGATCAAATAATGAAACCATTAAGTCGAACAAATGATCCTATCACAGCAGATCTAATTGAAGGTTTGATTACTGTAAGTCTAATTATTCATGCTAAATGGTTTCAATCAATTTATTTTTCATAGATCTTTCTATGAAATTAGATTAAACTATTTTGTTTTATTATTGATAATTCATGTGAATCAACTTTTGATTACACTCCGTATCAGTAATTCAGTTTGATTTTACAAGAGAGTGTTCGGTTTTGTGTGATTATTATTTTAAAGTTTGTTTAACCAAGTTTGACCTACTTCCTACGTTTAATGATTGATTAGGAGTTTGTTATTTCATTATTCTTATCATTAGTTCATTTACCCAATTGATATCAGTTGTATACTTTATCTAATATATGTAGTTAAGGAATTTGTTCATCATGATCATTGACTAAGAAAATTGCCTTGATTAGTTTGATGTTTCCATGTATCTATATAAATATTCCTGTATATCTGAGTAAAGTATGACGATGATCTAACCAAATACAGTATTGTTCACTTATATATATATATATGGACCCTCTGTTTTTTAAATTTCATTGAAATCATGAATCCATCTATGTTAGACCAGCATCGAAAACCTGGAATCACTGGACGACCGTATCGTCCTAATGTGTGACTGCTCAGAGATTCTCATCTACCACACTTTATACAGGACTCGAACCTAGGACGAACGCATAAACTTTAGATCAATGAGTCTGCATCAAACCGTGTTGACATCTAACTTCAATCAATTTACGACACTATGTGACTATCTTGTATTGTTTTAGTTGGTTAACTGCTTCACACGCTACACAGATTTGCTCCACTGGTTACGGTTACTAACTGGAACTCCAGGAATTTCCTCTCAAGATTGGTCACTAATGAACACATATTATATATTCGCTTTATAGCTTTTAGTAACTCGATATCTGACTCCAGTTAGATAGTATGAATGATTGTTATTGAAATATACATCCTGGCTGTCCCCGTATATAATTGTCGACTTAACTTGCGTTGGCGAATAACGGAATTAAATAAGTTGAATACGATAATGGATTTTTGAATACATATATTTTGTACGCTAGCTGATCTGGACAGACAATCAGAGGAACGAAGCAAATAGAAGAGAGAGATACGAAATGACGCTCAGTGGAGAAGGCATATGAGCTAACTCGATTTAATCAAGCGTTAATCATTATTTATAGTCACACAAAAATAAGCTGCTGATATGTGATGAGTAAAAGTGTACACATACGTATGCACTTATATAAAAAGTCAGCGTTGATAAGCAAATAATTAACAAGGTTAAAATATGACTCAAACAGAATGAATAGATTGCCCTACCCAGAAGCTTGAATAAGTTATATGGGCTTAACATAGTAACCGACACTACGACCTATTTTCCCTTCATATAATTATGTCAGTTTAGGAGTTGTGGAGATTGTTAAGATTTTTTGATTGAGATCATGAACCGATCGGTGTCAGACCACCATTGAAAAGCCGTGACCAGTGGAGCTAATCCGTGTCGGGTAAAAACAGGTGTCTACCTCATTACAATGGAAGATGGTCACGCAATTTCGTGGATTGGTTGGAGTTAGACATTAACACTATTGGATGCCGTCTCGGTGGTCCAGTAGGTTGAGCGTTCGCGCGCGAGACTGAAGGCCCTGGGTTCTAATCCCACGGGCGGAATGCGCACTGCTGGGGAGTCCCAGACTAGGATGAAACGGCCGTCTAGTGCTTCTAGGTTCTCAATGGTGGTCTAACATCAATCGGCTCATGATCTCAATCATCTATTTATGTATTTAAGAATTTCTCCTTTAAAATATATCTTCTATATTTTTTTATTTAACTGTATTTTTAATCTGATTCCGGATGCGATCAGTGAATTCTTACGTCATACGTCGCTTTGCAGTCATTCTAATATAAGAAAATACTTTTATGTAGCGTATTGTTATGCCGAATTATTCATTATTATTATTATTACTGTTACTATTATTATTATTATTATTATTATTAGTAGTAGTAGTAGTATATGATAAATTGAATGTTTAAACATTATCCCTTTTTATTAATAGGGATCAAACCTAGCTAGAGAACCAGAGAACTTACTCAAACTTCGATCTTTGGCTAAATCTCTAAAAGGTAAGTAATAATGCACATTTAATAAGATAATAGTGATATAGCTAAATCACTTTCTCTAAAATATTATATGATAATGATAACTAATCTATGACTTAGTGGTGTAAACAATTTCATCTTGAAGAAGGTCAGTTATTACCCAAATGACAAAATTGATAATGTATTTTACCTGAGACTAGGTAATATTAGGTTCTATTCATATTTGAATAATAAGTTCTCTTAAGAGTATGGATACATCTCATTAATGAGTTCCAATCTCCGAAATCTCATGTCTAGAACGTACTTTCATTTATCTAACTATTATTACTTGTTGTTTTTTTTTCTATGCCATGAACTTTGGAACAATGAAGAATTCTCAGTAGTAGGACATCAACAAATTTCTTTCTAATGTATGTTCGAATCGTAATAGTTCAATGGAATATTTCATATGTGTCTCATGTCTATTCTTAATTGAGTAGGTTTTCCATCGTTTTAGCTACTGCATCTATTTTTTTTCGGCCTGTCAATTATTGATTCCATGAATTCCAATGTAATTCACCTTCGTTTATTCAAAGGATAAACATGGGGGGAGGTAATCAACGGCTGCACTGCCGAGGTTTAAACTTCCCATTTCGTAAAATTGCGATAGGATGTTAGCTTTTAATCAAAGCTTGTGAGTATATACCATAAGCATGAATAATTAATAAGTTGAAAAGAAATCATTGCAATATTAAAACACTTTTAAAACGGACGTCTTAAATGTTTGAGAAAGCTTAAATGTATTTCGATAGCAAGTCGTTTAAATCATTGGGAAAACTGAAACTTGGAGATGCAGGAGAAGATTTGTACTGATGATATTGTTCAGAAGAATAATGAAAGGTCCACAATCAAACCATGCAGCTCCGAAAACAAAACTCCATCAAAAACTGAAACGTAATAGACAGAGTTCAATTAGTACTTATTCGCATAGTTACTTCAAATGATTTTATATGTTTTTGATTTTCTTTTTCAGGATCCGAAAATGTTACAACAACACTGTCAACTTTACAAAATAGTCCAGAAATTGAAACTTGCCTATCAAATTTTGATAAATGGGACTTCAACATATTTGATCTTGAACGGTTAACCAGTAAAAAGTAAATATTAGAGTATTTTTGTATTTAAAATAATATTATTTACTTACGCTTGTTACTCCTAATGGAGCATAGGCCAACGACCAGCATTCTGCAATCCACTCTGTCATGGGCCTTCTTTTCTAGTTCCATCCAATTGTTATTCATTCTTTTCATGTCCGTCTTCATTTCTCGACGTAATGTATTCTTCCACTTTTTCTTCGGCCTTGAGGATTCCATGTGAGGGCTTGACTTGTGGCGCAGTTCAGTGCTTTCTTCAATGTGTGTCCTATACACTTCCAGCACTTCTTCCTGATTTCTTCCTCCGCTATAATCTAGTTTATTCTCTCTCATAGTAAGTCGTTATTGATTGTGTCCGGACAACGGATCCGAAGTATTTTGCGTAGACAACTATCAATAAACACCCGTATTTTCTGGATGACGGGTTTCGTAGTTCACCATGTTTCCGCCCCATACAGTAAGAGTGTCTTGACATTTGTATTGTAAATTCTGAGTTTGGTGTTGGCTTACAGAAAGTTGTTTTGAGATCCAAATGTCCTTCAGTTTCAAATATACTGCTCTTGATTTACCGATCCGCGCTTCTACATCTGCATCAGATCCACTATGTTCACCAATGATGCTGCCCAAATACGTAAAGGTTTTTACATCTTCCAAATCTTCTCCGTCGATTGTGATTGGATTGGTGCATGCTGTGTTGTATCGGAGAATCTTGCTTTTCCCTTTGTGTATATTGAGACCTACTGCTGCTACTACACCGGTCGTCTTCTCCTGAATTTGTTGTTGCGTTTGGGATAGAAGGGCCAGATCATCTGTGAAGTCTAGATCGTCCAACTGCATCCCAGATGTTTACTTTATCCCATGCTTCCCCTTAGATGCTGACGTCTTCATGATCCAGTCGACCACCAGAAGAAAGAGAAAGAGTGGGATTAAGCAGTCTTACATGACACTGGTCTTCACTTCGAACGAGTCTGTGACCTGTCTTCCATGCACGATTTTGCAGTTTAATCCATCATAGGGATTCTGTAGCATATTGACTATCTTCTGAGGCAGGCCGTAGTATCGAAGAAGTTTCCATAGTGTTGTTCTGTCCACATCAAATGCTTTTTCGTAGTCAATATTATATAAAGAATTATATTTGTTTGTATAGTTGCAAAATTAGCCATGAGGAAGATCAGTTCCTTTCAAGAGTGTAAATATACTTTGTTAATTGAGTGTCTGAAACCATTAAATATTCACATAGTTTAACTGAAGGGTTGAGTTGAAAAACTATACTTATATACTAGATGATTTGAAATCGCTCAGAATTTGCCTATTGAAGCATTCGCCATAGAAAATGAAATAAATTCATCTTTAATTGAATATTCAAATTCCCTTTGTCTTTGTCTAAAGTCTGTACCCAATGAAAATAGAGGAAAATGTGTTTTAGATATCGGTGTTGCAAAACATGGGATTCTGATTATCTGAACGTTCTGGTTAAAGTTCGTGGAAAATGTTTAGTAATGGTTTGTTCTCATTGACTTGTATAGATACGTCGTTCAAATGACTCAACATATTGAGTCACATAACTATGATATTACTGTACTTCCCGTTTTTGACTTCTTCACTGATTGTGTTAGTGTGACACATAAAGTTTATTTAAATCACCTCACGCGCTGGTCGTAACCAACCGACAATTCTTATTCATACAACATAAAAGAATACAATTATAAGCAGAGATGAATGGTGACTAGCAGTGGACTTTAGATTGCGCGTTTCGTTCTATTCGAAACTTGTTAGTTGGATATACCTGCATCCCAGGGTTAACATTTATTCTAGGACTTAAGAAAATCCTCACAGGATTCACATATTCTAACAAGACACTGATCAATTACAGTCCTAAACATCAATATGAAGATTCAAACAACCAATAGAAAAATGTAAAACGATACAAGTTGATTTCATATGAGCTCAACTTTACTATTTCATCGGCAACCTAATCGTTTCTAAAAATAGATCCGTTGTTTGTATATCTTTTCTTCTTCTTTAGACCTCTCACTTATTTAGGCATGAAGATATTGGACAGTTTCAATGCTCTTAGTGTACTACGTGTACCTAGTCAAATTTTAGTCGGTTGGTTAACAGTAATTGAAGAACATTATCATGTGGATAATCCATACCATAATGCTACACATGCAGGTGATGTTCTACAAGCATCAGCTTACTTTCTACAACATAGTTTAATAAGAGTAAGTTTACCAGTCTAATATTAAAATGAAAAGACTAAGAGTCATATGACTTCAATGTGAATTTTTCGTTACGTTTTTAGTGGCCTGAGATCTGACTCCAATTAGATTGTATGAATGATTGTTATTGAAATATACATCCTGGCTATCCTTGTATAGAATTGTTGAATTAACTCGCGTTACTGAATAATGGAATTAACTAAGTTGAATACGAGAATGGATCTCGGATATGTATATTTTGTACGATCATTGATCCGGGCGGATAGTCAGAAGAACAAAGTGAAAGGACTCACGGTAGAGAACGTGCATGAGCCAACTCCGTTTAATGAAGCGTTAATTACCACTTATAGTCACACAAAAATAAGTTACAGATATGTGATGAATGGAATAAGATGTACATAGACATACGCTCATATAAAAGCAGTCAGGGTGGATAAGTAAATAATGAAGAAGTATAAAACGTGACTCAAGAAGAATGGATAAGTTGGCCTGTCCAGAAGCTAGAATACGTTGTACTGGCTTAACATAGTAACTGACAGTACAAGTTTCTTGTACCTGAAACTGTATCCGCATAATATGTTATCAATAATGAGAGTTGTTTTGTTGCTAATATTTTGGAAGTATTGTGTCATTCGAACTGAAACTTACGTAGTCGTACAATTAAACATTTCGAAAAGAGGGATGGCTTTACTTCACCATTTCATGTGCACTAGATCTTTCATAAATATCTTTTCAGATAACAAAGATTTTGTACATGCCATTAACTACGAAATTTCAACGAACTTCAGTGAACTAATCAGTATTTAGGAAGGAGAGACTGTATTGTTTCAACATTATTTGACATTTTTGGATTTATAAAAAAAACTAACTATGGTACAAACCTAGCGAGATGTTGATATTCCCTTATACTGCTTCGTTTCTAATTCCCATAACGATTTAACTTTAGAACAACATAGATATAAGCGAACAATATTGTTTTCGATTAGATCCTCATCAAGCTTTACTTGAATATACAGTAATATTTATATGCATATATGAAATTATTAAACTAATCAAGGTGTAGATACATGTGAATCTACGAATTCAGCTGCTCCTTTGGAGAAAGTTATATTGGGCGCACTACCAGGCTACTGAATCAAAGAGTTAATGAACATCTCCATTCGTGGTTAGGAAAAGGTAATGTCAAGACAATACGTAGCTCGGTTCTATCACACTTGATCGATAGCGGTCATTTAGTGGACAGAAACAAGTCATTTAAAGTTAGTTGTCGTATTCATAATAGGTTTCCATATGGTGTTCAATCTCGTCTCTTACACATAGGAAAAGCTATAAGAATTCGAGTTAACAATCCACGTCTTTGTGTTCATGAGGAATTTATGAAAAGAAAACTGTTTCCAGTACATAATGAAGTTAAAGATCATTTTAATGTGAGCAACAATATATGAAGATTCAATGTCTATAACCCAGTGGTAATTTATTAGTTTGGATGAAAATATGATAACTGAACATTTTGTCGTCAATATCAACTGTTTTAATACAAGTATCTAGTTTAATAACCGGAATATATAATCCTGTAAGCACTAGACAGCTGTATTCCTTATCTTATATGGCTTTGCAGCATTGCACACCTACAACTTTATACAAGATGAAATAAAGGATATCAAGAGTTCCAATGGTTGACATTTTAAACATTAGTAGAAACCATCAGTCAGTTGAAGCTAGACCACCATGGAAAACGTGGAAGCCCTGAACGGCCGTTTCGTCCCAGCATAGGACTCCTCAGCAGCACGCATCCACGATCCCGCCTCTCGGGATTCGAACCCATGATCTATCAGTCTCGCGCGCAAACACTTAACCAATAGATCACTCAGCCCTCCGGTATCCCACAGTATTAATGTCTAACTTCAAATAATCCACGAAATTGAGCAACACATACACCGTTGTTTCAAGTGAACTACTATCTCATAACAGACCCAGTTGAACTCTACTATTCACTGCTTCTCACTAGAACTCCAGGAAATACCTCTTCAAACCAGTCACTAGTGAGCATATGTTGATTTGCTAGTCAAATTGATACATAAATCATGAAAGTGAATAATATTCACAAACCTGTAATGTTTAAGTAATTGTATGTTCACTGTAGTCTGATTCCATGAGATAAGTCTTGGAATTCTAGCATAAAACCCTGATAGGTGAAGTTTAACCAAGTCGAGTGTGAGACAGTTACCCATTAGTGTAATTAGAATATGAAGTCAAAATATCTCGAATTGACTCAATTTATAGTTGTAAAACAATCGATGTTCAAAATGTTAAGCGTCAACCACGTAATTTAAATGTCGGTCGATAATCGCACTGTTGATGAGGAGTTTACCTTTAAAGTCTCTCAATGTGACATTGATCATTGTTGTTCAATCGTTCGCTATTTGGACTTAACTTCGTCAAGAATGGTTTTAGTGCAATTCATTGAATAATTAGTTGGCACTATCAACTATCTGACACAACAAAAGAATATGATTTAAAGTCATTGCTAATAAAAATCTACTTATTAGACTTGCTTTTTCATATACATTCTTAAATAACTATCTCGATTCTTGTTGCTTATTATTTAATTCCAGTCAATTTGCACAAATATCGATGAAGTTGCTACACTTTTAGCCGCGATAGTACATGATGTAGACCACCCGGGGAAAACAAATCCATTTCTTGTGAATAGTAATGATCCATTAGCTATTCTATACAATGATATGTAAGTGCTGAAGTGAAATTTACTGTGTAACTTATTTATTATCGTTTGACTATGAAATGATTTGACTTACGATTGAGTAATTTTTGATGAATATTGGTTCAATATCATCCAGAATACCTATGCAGCTGTCGTTCCAGTTAATCTAGAAATTGACTAAATGACATATTCAACCTTAGTTATGTAGTTTAAGTAAGCTGTAATTAAAAACATACTTTACTTGTCCGGATTTCGATAGTTGGACAAGATCACATAATGCATGTAATTCAAAATTAATAAATACTTAATGGCTAAGGTGGATATGAATGATTTTTAGTAGAATTTGACTTCTTCAAGTTGGACATGCCTGGGACCTAGAGTTATTGTTCACATCCAACTGATGAGTCCCAAATGGGACGAAGTGCGTATCCTGGATCCAAAAGTTAGCCACTACACATCCGTGCTTATATTCGTCTTTCTGTTTTTTGGTACACTTTTATAAAGCAATAACTAGGCTTTCTTAAACATGTATTTTAATGCTTATTTAGTGAATCTAAAATGTTAAGCTGGAATTATTCAGTCAATATATTTGTATTCTTTTATTGTTTTTTTTATTCAAGTGCTGTATTAGAAAGTCATCATGCGGCTGTTTCATTTGAATTAACCCTCCGATCACCTGACATCAATATTTTTCAGAATTTGACACGGTAAGTGACGTCTTTAAAAATCTTGTGGTGTATTTCATACACTCACATTTTCTATAAGTTGACCATTCATGTGTAGTGACTCACTTTTATCACGAGAACACAACTGGTTTAATGAAAACAATTATTATTATAACCAACTGTACCAGTGCTTGTTTTAATGTGCTTTTGTTTAACTGGGCTAATTACAGCCATTTTGTGCTTCCATTACCTTCCATCATTGTTGTTCCGCGGTTTTTGTCTTTGTTCTCACGTACTCCATTCTCCTGCTTTCGCTTGTACCATTTCTTGGCACGATCTTGGTATTCGTTCGATACCACGAGATCGCCAACGAAATAAATCTGGTTACGTTCAACCTTCGCCTTCTGATTTGTTTGGTACACGTTTCCTTGTAGTGGCGTTCATAGTCAATTTCGACATCGACATCACGCTACACATGCATCAAACTCACCGTTCCAATGAACGTTAGGAAGATCTCATTCTACCTTACAAAATATTCTTATTTCCGAAACACCAAGAGTATTAGAGAAAACGCCGCAACATCATACTGAGTCGGTGGATGACAAGTATCCATTCACGGTAATTGTTATGCGGTAATTCCAAATTAGAGGTGGATACAGCACCAAAATCGTAGAGGAATAATTACCGTTTCAATCTATTTTGACAGTAACAAAAGCTCACTTATTCAACGTTTTGCTTTGATTACAGAATAAAGTTCTCCGTTCAAAACTACCTATATCATGAGAAATTCCTGTTGCTTATGCAGTTATTTTGTGAATATTGACTTATATGTATAATCAGAATCAATGACCTACTCTAGACGAACCACCCAATCAATATGAAAAACTGACCCAAACCTTAACGCTTATTAGCCCACGAACACTTCCAATCCCAGTGTCCAATCAGAGGACGAAGTTAACAAGCAGATCTCTAATATTATCCTTCTATGTCTTACATCTTAAACACTCGCAAGAGTGATATACACTATCAGACCATACCACATCATAAACCAGAAATCATAGTTTGTACATAACTAAGCCACTATTAACACAAAACTGAGCGATTTCTTCGTAATTAGTTAAAAATAACTAAGGGAAAATGAAACATATTACAACAGTTCATGATCACTGGCTAGGACGATAATTACTACATGACAGATGGAGTAGGTTTGAGTGTCCGACCAACATCACATCATTAGTAATAATCAAGTCGATCCTAATGACGGAAGTTCCAAAATGTTACGACAATGTTTGTAAAGTATCATACATAAGTACATGATCTGTTGATGTATCATATAGACAGATAGTTACTTACTTACTTACGTCTGTTACTCCTCACAAAGGAGCATAAGCCGCTCACCAGCATTCTCCATTCAATCCTGTCCCGTGCAATCCTTTCCAGCTATTTCCAGTTGTTATTCATTCTTTTCATATGTGATTCCATTTCTCGACGTAATGTGTTCTTTGGCCTACCGCTTTTCCGCTTAACTTCAGGATTCCAAGTTAGGGCTTACCTCATGATGTAGTTTGATGATTTGCGTAATGTATGTCCTATCCATTTCCTTCTTCTCTTCCTAATTTCCTCTTTAGCTAAGAGCTGGTTTGTTCTCTCCCACAGAAGGCTGTTACTGACAGTATCCGGCCGATGGATGTTGAGTATCTTGCGTAGACAACGTTTTTATAAATACTTGTAATATTTATAGTACTTGTACAGTAGAACTGCCTTGACGTTCGTATTGAAGATTCTCACATTGATATTGGTTGAAAGTTGTTTTGAGTTCACATAGACAGATGGATTATGATAACTGCTAGCCTATTTAATTTATACGATATTTAAACACCTACACTATCATATCATCCATACGAAAGATCTATTTTATTTACACTGTAATAGACGCTTCTTAAAACGTTTCTACTTCAGAAAGGTTATGTATAATTCGTATTTAGCTGAATGGATTATGTAATCCATCAAGACTTAATAAATAGAAATGATGAATGATTTCACCAAGTCATTTCAAGTGAAAATCACTTATTCTTCGATGTGATTGTGTAGTTTTCACACCATACTATAAACAAACTGAAGTCGAATATATCAATATTGGGGAAAAAACAATCCATTAATCCAAAGGTACCTCATAACATCCGATGGCTTTATGAGTGAGCATTCTCGATAATAAACAAAATAGGATCAGAACCTTTTTCAGTCTACTATTGGTTTTTAATTGTTTTTTAACCAACTGATATTTATCCTAGTATAAGACTCCTCAGGAATGTTCATGCACGATCCCATCCCACGAGATTCGAACTCAGGACCTATCAGTCTCTAGGTTTTCTATGATTGTCTAAATTCAATTGACTCATGAATTCAATTATTAAATTTGAAAAATCTCTTCGTAAAAACCCTCTCTGATATTTATCCAGTGACATAATCCATCATTATGAGTTTTGTTGTTAGTTATTATTATTATTATTATTATTATTAAAACGAAGAACAGCAATCCAATCACTCTTGATGGCGAAACTCTGGAAGATGTAGAATCCTTCACATACCTGGGAAGCATCATCGATGAACAAGGAGGATCAGATGCAAACGTAAAGTCAAAGATTCTCAAAGCAAGGGTCACATTCCTACAATTGAAGAACATATGGAATTCAAAACAACTTTCAACCAATATCAAAGTGAGAATCTTCAATAAGAACGTCAAGACAGTCAGTTCTACTGTACAGAGCTGAAACTTGGAGAACTACTACAACCATCATCAAAAAGGTACAAGTATTTATAAATAGCTGTTTACGTAATATACTCAACACCCATCTGCTGGATATCATCAGCAACAGCCTTTTGTGGACGAGAACAAACCAGCTCTTAGCTAAAGAGGAAATTAGGAAGAGAAGAAGGAAATGGATAGGACATACATTACGCAAATCATCAAACTACATCATGAGGTAAGCCCTAACTTGGAATCCTGAAGTTAAGCGGAAAAGCGGTAGGCCAAAGAACACATTACGTCGAGAAATGGAATCACATATGAAAAGAATGAATAACAACTGGAAATAGCTGGAAAGGATTGCACGGGACAGGATTGAATGGAGAATGCTGGTGAGCGGCTTATGTTCCTTCGTGAGGAGTAACAGGCGTAAGTGAGTAAGTTTTATTATTGTTATGATTAGTGTTTCATTTGGATGATTATGTTTTTTTTAATCTTCATTCATTATACAGTGAAGAATATCGTACAATACGTAGCTATATTGTTGATATGGTATTATCTACTGAAATGGTACGACATTTTGATATTGTTACAAAATTTGTAAACACATTAAGTAAACCAATGCTTGCAAAGAATCGTGTAAGTGATTATTGTCTATATAATATTGTTTTTGGATGATAATTCATTTTGAAGATAAACTTCAATTTTTCATTTTTCTAATGATATAATAATTGAATTCATGAGTCAATTGAAGTTAGATTTCAAAACCCGTCTCTGATTATAATCATTATATGTTCACTAGTGACTGTCTCCAAGAGTTATTTCCTGGAGTTCTAGTGAGAAGCAGTGACTAGTGGAGTTCAACTGGGTCTATTATAAGATAGTAATTCACTTAAAACAACGATGTATGTGTTGCTCAATTTCGTGAATTAGTTGAAGTTAGACATTAATGCGGTTGTATGCCGGAGGGCTGAGTGGTCTATTGGTTAAGCGTTTGCGCGCGAGACTGATAGATCATGGGTTCGAATCTGACGAGGCGGGATCGTGGATGCGTGCTGCTGAGGAGTCCCATACTAGGATGTAACGGCCATCCAATGCTTTCAGGTTTTTTATGATGGTCTAACTTCAATTGACTCGTGAATCCGACTATTAAATTACTATAATATCCACAAAACCCGTCTCTCCTAATTATTATTTATTAAGTTAGTTTAAATGAATTTTACTCCTTGATTGTATTCGGATTAGTTGAAATTTAAACTTATATAGTTGATCAAGGGGTTATTAATTTTCCCAGAGGTTGTTCTATTACATCAGGTTAATTATCTCAATCATTAATTTTGAAACTAGTCAATAGTGAAAGTATTGCATTAGATGGTTGATTGTATGAACAAATCAATATTAAAAACAGATTGTCTTATATTCACTTGGTATTCTTTACTTGAATCTTCCCGTTGATGTTTAAAACTGCAGTCGGTTAGTCTCATGTTGGCATATTTACATCCTATGCGGATTGACTGGATATTGCCTTAATTCACAAGCATTATTAACAAAGATGGAAGGTGGCTTGCAGTGGAATCCACGACCCCCGTTTTTTCCTATTTGGGACTCGTCAGCTGAATGTACCTGCATCATAGAGTTTATGCTCACTCTGGGACTCGAACCCAGTACCGTTCGCCTCAAATGCTATAGCGTTATCCACCTAACTACTGAGTCATAGGGTGAAGTTTACGGCTGAAATTGATCAGTCTCTTATTGGCATATGTGTATCATGTGTGCATTTCTTTGATATTGCCTTAATTTACATGCATTCTAAGCAAAGATGGGTTTGAGTTCCAAAGTGAACATCAACTCTGAGATGCAGTTACATCCAACTGACGAGTCCCAAATTGGATGAAATGTGCGTCCTGTATTCCACTGATAGCCGCTGTCCATCTTTGTTTAGAAGTTTGCCTTATAGCCTAAATGTGAGTTAAGTTTATCATAAGTAATTTTCAAATCAGTAACGTTTTTGATCATTATTATTATAAAGATCATGAGTGATCATAAGATTAGCAAGTAAACGTTTTTTTTAAATATATATAGAAATATGATGACAACCGTCAAAATAGTCAGTCTTAGAGGTAGAATACGTTACATTGATATACTTAGACTGTGATTACATTACACCTGAGTCATACTGTAATGAACAGAACACAAGTGGGGACAATCGAATGTATTCAACACAAAATTACAGGACCTGTTAATAAAATCTAACAATCAAATAGTCAATGCCTAATTTGCAAAATGTCCATCAATTGTCTCAAAATGATTCAGACTTCATTGTTCATGCATTTTCATACAAATTGCATTCTGTTTCTATTCGTTACTGTTCGATCCTCTTGTCTCTCTGCTGCCAGATCTTCTGTTCACGACTAATATCATATACTACTTATGTCAATATAAGTAGCACACACCACAATACCATTAAATCAGAATTGATCAATTGATGTAGTACTACAGAGCATCTTACATTTCTACTTCATTAAAGTATTTTAACTCAATGTTATCTCTCTTCAAACTAATTCTGTAACATAAATATGTATGTCAGTTCCATATAATACACTGATCGCAAAACATTTTATTATTTTGTTTCAATATAGCACCATGATCGTTCATCTGTCGGTAGTATGAGTTCTATGGAATCGTGTTCTATGGGAATGACAATGTCTCATTCTACTTCACCAAGCCCTGGACAAGAACGTATATCTAGTACACTAGAAAACTTATCAACTGCAGAAAATAGAACATTAATTAAACGTTTAATTATTAAATGTTCCGATGTTAATAATCCTACAAGACCATTATCTATATGTAAAGAATGGGCAACAAGAATAGCGGAAGAATACTTTTGTCAAGTTAGTAAATTTTTTAAACTGAAATTTGTTTTCATTCACTTGATGTTATTTTACTTGTACGTTCCCATCAGTCTCATGTTAGTATATGTGCATCCTGTGCGTATTGCCTCGATATAGCCTTAAGTCATAAGCTTTTTAAGCACCCCATTTCACAAGCAGGTGGCTATTAGCACTCAGTAGTTAAGTGGATAACGCGATGGTGTTTGAAGCGAACGCTACTGGGTTCGAGTACAGGAGTAAACATCAACTTGGTGATGCAGGTACATCCAGCTGACTAGTCCCAAATAGGTCGAAACGCTCGTTGTGGATTCCACTGCAAGCCACCATCCATCTTTGCTGAACTTTGTTTCCTTTTTGTCTACTAAACAAAAATTTATATCATGATTTCTTCCACGGTTCAACTATAAGACAGGTGAATAGACGTTTGAATTCATATATTTTTTTGACAGAACTCCTACAGTCAATAAATTAAGGTATTCCGATGCAGACAGATGTACTAACTTTTTATGATATGTCAAACAAATGTCTTAGTAGTGCTTCATAAATCATTTTGTCTTTATTGGCATTTTTCCATATAGTTTCTGTGATATCATAATAAAAAGCAAACCTTCATTCAGATTCAATTGATGTGAGCTAACAACTAGACTCATTTATGTTACTAAGATACCAGTCATGTAGTATCTCACAGTATTATAAGTTTCATTAAAAAAAAATAATTTATCGAACTATTTAGGTCTTTAATAGTTTATTCAATAACAATATGGAAACCTATAACACAAAGTTGTTATGACTTTATGTCCGGCTTTTTATCACGTGATTTATCCACCAATCAAAATACGACTTATACAATCTTAGCACTGTGCCAGAACCAATGAGGTTCAACCGGTATGGGCAGCCTAACGTCCTCATTGGCCGTATGTCCGCCTAGCCCGTCCACTTGAATCCAGAACACCAATACCAGCTTCCACTATGCGAATCGAATCGAATCGTTCATTTCAGACATACTGGGTTTATATATCAACCAAACAGACCACAACGCACCATAAAATAGGAAATAACATTCATACACAATAAAGCCAAAAGGTGACTGTGAAGATGGGAGGCAGTAGCCAATAAACTGAACATAGCTTAAGAACAGTAAATCGTACATTAATAAATTATAGGTCAAAATAAAGCTCATGATAAGAGGAATATAAATATACATAATCTAATTATTGAATAGTTATACCATAAGAATGTATAGATAATATTAGTCAATTAATCTATGTCTCAGCAGAAGTTACTCGTGATTTAATCTTCACTCGGATATAACAAAAGTAATAGCTATTTTCTATATGTTCTTTTTAAAAAGAACTAAAACATACTGAATGAAAAATCGTTTCTATCAAGAAATTCATGTCACTTGTAGAACCATCCAAAACTAAAGAACAACTGAACATCAATTTCATTTAAGTACATGTCTCTTCACCAGTGTATATGCATTACATTAAGATGAAATCAATGTAACAAGTTTAAATTTAATGTGATAAGTTGATTAATCAAATAAGGTTAAAGGTAAATGACCAATTACAATAGTTGAGATCATCAGTCAATTGAAGCTAGACCACTATGGAAAACCTAAAAGCAATAGATGACCGTTTTGTCCTATTGTAGCTCCTCAATGCTTGTATCTAAGTGAGGATACAGTCTTAGATTTGATGATTTGTACGATATTCTTAGTTCACCTAAATGGTTACACTAATCAATACTTTCTTAAACTGTGATTATATTCAATAAGAACTTTCGTCTAAATTTGAATGAATAGTTTCACAATATTTGAGCGCCGAGTTAATGTGAGTCATTAAAGAGGAATAATATATATTTGTAAAATCTCAGCAAGCGAATTTGAAGTAAATCCAACGTTTCGCTTGGCAATCTGGTCCAAGCTTTCTCAAGAAAAATATAATCAAACAACGACAGCTTAGATGACAAAATCAAGTTTACGAAAGAGTTGGAATCGCCTGAATGCAGATTACCTTTTCTAGACTGCCTGATTGAAAGGAAGGATAATGATTGTTTAAAAATTAATCTATTCCGAAAGCCTACATATTCAGGGAAATTTTTAGATTTTAAGTCTGTGTATCGACACTCGACCAAAGTGACAATGGCCAAAAATTTGATCACCAGAGTCAAAAAACTTGTCACTGAACAAAATGATATAAAAATGGAAATGAATTTAGTTGTATCCACTCTATTAATGAATAATTATCCGAAAGGTTTTATTAAAAGAATAATTAAGAATGAAGAACGGAATGATATTTTTGAAAAAAGAGTTAAGCAAGATTGGATGAACACAGTAGTGATCCCATATCGTAAAGGTATCTCAGAAGATATCAGAAGGATTTTAACTCGTCAAAATATAAGAGTATTCTTTCGAACAAATAATACTCTAAGATCAAAACTAGTAAGAATCAAAGATCCAATACACAAGGATGATCAACAGAATTGTGTTTATGAAATCAAATGTAATGACTGTAATGCAACGTATGTAGGTGAAACATCAAGGCAACTGAATGTGAGGGTGAAGGAACACATACTGTGCTTAAAGCACATTCCTAAATCATCAATTGATGTAAAAAAAAGCTTGAGAACAGATCAGTGACAGCATAAAACTCGATTGAATCGGGTCATACAATTGATTTCAATGGCACGAGAATCATTCAAAAAGGATTTAATTCTTACAAAGAACGACTAACAGTCGAAGCCCTACATATATGGGCTACTTTAAACTATATTAATAGGAGAGATGGAAACTAATAATTAATAAGTAAACCTGATCTCCTTTTTTGCAATTTGATATATCTATGCCATAGTAACTAATTGTTCAATGATTCAAATCCGTTATCTTATCTGAATGTGTTATACAATTGACGGGGACATTAAAATAACTTACTTACTTACTTACTTACTTACGCCTGTTACTCCCAATGGAGCATAGGCCGCTGACCAGCATTCTCCAACCCACTCTGTCCTGGGCCTTCTTTTCTAGTTCCATCTAATTATTGTTCATTTTTCTCATGTCTATCTCCATTTCTCGGCGTAATGTGTTCTTTGGTCTTCCTCTTTTCCTTTGACCTTCAGGATTCCATGTGAGGGCTTGTCTTGTAACGCATTTGGGTGCTTTCCTCAATGTGTGTCCTATACACTTCCAGCAAGTCTCCCTGATTTCTTCCTCCACTGGCATCTGGTTTTTTCTCTCCCACAGTACGTTGTTGTTAATAGTGTCCGGCCAATGGATCTGAAGTATTTTGCATAGACAGTTGTTAATAAACACCTGTATTTTCTGGATGATGGCTTTCGTAGTTCTCCAGGTTTCTGCCCCATACAATAGAACTGTCTTGACATTTGTATTGAAAATCCTGATTTTGGTGTTGGTTGATAGTTGCTTTGAGTTCCAGATGTTCCTCAGTTGTAAATATGCTGCTCTTGCTTTGCCGATCCGCGCCTTCACATCTGCATCAGATCCACCCTGTTCGTCAATGATGCTGCCCGAATACGTAAAGGTTTTTACATCTTCCAAATCTTCTCCGTCAATTGTGATTGGATTGGTGCATTCTGTGCTGTATCGGAGAATCTTGCTTTTCCCTTTGTGTATATTGAGACCTATTGCTGCTGAGACTGCTACCACACTATTCGTCTTCTCATGCATTTGTTGTTGCGTTTGGGATAGAAGGGCCAGATCATCTGTGAAGTCTAGATCGTCTAACTGCATCCTAGATGCTCATTGTATGCCGTGCTTCTATTCAGATGTTGACGTCTTCATAATCCAGTCGATCACCAGGAGAAAGAGAAAGAGCGAGATTAAGCAACCTTGCCTAACAGCGGTCTTCACTTCGAACGACTTTGTCTACTGTCCTCAATGCACAATTTTGCAGTGTAATCCATCATATGAACTCTGTATGATATTGACTATCTTCTGAGGCACGCCGTAGTATCGAAGAAGTTTCCATAGTGTTGTTCTGTCCACGCTATCAAATGCCTCTTCGCAGTCAATGAAGTTGATGTAGAGTGATGAATTCCATTCAATTGATTGTTCCACACTGATCCATAGAGTTACGATTTGGTCTGTACACGATCTATCCTTACGGAATCCTTCCTGTTGGTTACGAAGTTGGGCGTCTACGCAGTCCTTCATCCTGTTTAATAATACCCTGTTGAAGACTTTTCCCGGTATTGAGAGAAGAGTGATGCCCCTGTAGTTATCACAGTTGCTGAGATCGCCTTTCTTCGGTATTTTGATCAGAAGTCCTTCTTTCCAGTCTGTTGGTACTTGTTCCTCATCCCAAATCTTATTGAAGAGAATGTGGAGTATCCTTGCAGTTGCCGCTACGTCTGCTTTTAGTGCCTCTGCTGGGATGTTGTCCGGTCCTGCTGCTTTGCCACTCTTGATTTGTCTGATGGCCATGCTGATTTCTTCAATTGTTGGTGGGCCAACATTGATTGGGAGGTCCGTGGGTGCTACTTCGATATTGGGTGGGTTCAGTGGAGCTGATTGATTCAAGTGTTTTTTGGAGTGTTCTACCCACCTGTTTCGTTGTTCGTCAATGCTGGTAATCACTTTGCCTTCCTTGCTTTTTACTGGTCGTTCTGGTTTACGGTGATTTCCAGAGAGTTTCTTTGTTGTGTCATGCAGTTGTCTTATGTTTCCTTCTCTTGCAGCCTTTTCCACGGTTGTTGCTAAATCTTCCAGATATTTACGTTTGTCGGTTCTGATGCTCCTCTTCACTTGTTTGTTTACTTCTGTGTATTCAGCTTGTGCCTTGGCTTTTTCTGCTCTTGTTCGACTGGTATTGATTGCAGTTTTCTTGTTCCTCCTTTCTTGAATCTTATCCAGTGTATCAACAGTGATCCATTCCTTGTGATGGTGCTTCTTATGACCCAGGACCTCATGACATGTTGAAGTGATTGCCTCGTTGATCCCCTTCCAGTTGCTCTCCACAGTAGTTCCCTCTCAATTGAGTAGATCATGAAAGGCCTGGAACTTATTGCTGAGGACTATCTTGAATTTGTTGAGTTTGTTAGTATCCTGAAGAAAGGCTGTATTGAACTTTTGTGATATTGTCCACCCCGTTGTCCAGTGTTTCTTGAGTTTCAATTTCATCTTGGCGACCAGCAAGTGATGATCTGATGATATATCAGCTCCTCTCTTGGTTCTCACGTCCTCTATAGTCCTCCTGAACGTTTTGTTGATGCAAATATGGTCGATTTGGTTTTGTGTATAGTGATCCGGTGAAGTCCATGTGGTTTTGTGTATGCGTTTATGTGGGAATATGCTGCCGCCTATGACCAGCTTATTGAAGGCACATAGATTTGCAAATCTCTCACCATTTTCGTTTCTTTCTCCCAGTCCGTGTCGTCCCATGATGTCTTCATATCCAGTGTTGTCCGTTCCAACCTTGGCGTTGAAATCTCCCATCATAATGGTCAGGTCCTTTGTTGGGCACTTCTCGACTATTGACTGCAGCCTATTGTAGAATTGATCTTTAGCGTCTTCATTGTAGTCGTTGGTAGGCGCATAGCATTGGATGATGTTCATTGAAATGCCCTTTTCTTTGTTTCGAAGGAGGCTTTGATGATCTTTGGTCCATGAGATTCCCATCCTATAAGCGCATTTTGTGCTTGTTTGGACAGCATCAATGCAACTCCTTGTGTATGTGGGGCATTTTCTTCTTCATGGCCGGAGTATAACAGAAGCTCTCTTGAAGTTAGTCGTTGTTGTCCAACTTGTGTCCAATGTGTTTCACTGATCCCAAGTACCTCTAGGTTGTATCTTCTCATTTCTGCAGCAATTTGAAAGGCTCTTCCGGTATCCCACATTGTACGAACATTCCATGTACCTAAATAAATGGTCGCTCTGGTTGTCAGAAGGGGCATCGGCCTCGTAACTTTCGAAGGAATTCGGCTTTCATCATGAGGCGTCATAATTCTTCTAAATGAAGACCTTCTGACTCCCAGGGCAGAGTTTAAAAGGTTTGAATAATTTTTTCTGGTTAGCGTTTTTTTAGCGAGTTAGTTTTCTACGGGATGGGGACGCTAACCCCATGCCCAACCCTCCTCCTTTATCCGGTCTTGGGACCGGCAGTAGCCCCCAGAGGGACTCTAGGCGGACACACACTTTCAATTACATATACATCCCTCTTTTATTTTGTTTACTAATCTTATTTATCTTCATTTAATGCAGGCTGTGGCATTTTTTGATTCATTTCATATATAAAATCATCTGTTTTTCTTAATATACACAGACCGTAGTCAATATTTAGTTGAATGAAATTTCTTCTCACATCACTTGCGTATAACACACATTCTGTTGTCTTAATACATTTTTGGTTCCATAATCACATACCTTGTTCCTTATGTGTACAATGACAAGTTTGTCATAACCTTGAATTTACCTTGATAATCCTTAAGTCATTCTATATGGCCTAGGATAACACAGCAATTTTTCTTATTCTTTCTCTTCCCTTGGTTATTTTCAAATGAACTTATATTTGGTTGACCTTTATTATTTTTCATATTTATTTTCATATAAACACATCATGGATGCGCACTGCTGAGGAGTCCCATACTAGAACGAAACGGCCGTCCAGTGCTTCCAGGTTTTCCATGGTGGACTCATGATTTCAACCTGTGAAATTTCTAAAACTCTTCACAAAACCCATTTTGATAATAAACATATCTCTTACACATTAATACAAATACCTATTTATAAAAAAAATCCTTCACCTTGATTGGATGACTTATTCAGTATACAGTAAACTGGAGAACCATGGTACCTATTTATATTCAAAAGACGGGGGGATTTGATGGGGATCTTTAAACGACTATTTATATTCGATAATTTTGTTGTTTGATTATATTTTTTTCCTTGAAAAAGCTTGAACCAGATTGTCAGGTGAAACGTTGGATTTACTTCAAATTCATTCGCTGAGATTTTCACAAATACAACATTCTTCTTTTTAATGTGATTATATTCATGGTCAATGAAATGTGTTTAACGAGTAAATATCAAAGATACGTTTTCCAAAATGTATAAGCAGCATTTTCTTATTCTATGCATTTAACTATTTTATAATTTAGACGGAAGAAGAGAAACGACGCAATTTGCCTATTGTTATGCCAAATTTTGATCGACAAACTTGTAATATTTCTCAATCACAGTTATCATTTATTGATTTCTTTTTAAAAGGAATGTTTTCAGGATTTGACTGTAAGTCACTTACATATTATGGTAAAAATATATTTTAAAATTAGTCCCATTAGTTCAATGTATTAATAGGAAACTAAGAAGTTATTAAATTGTGCAACAGTAAAGATTGTGTTTTTTTTTAAATGAAACTCCAGTTGGCACCCCCTGTGTTGTTTGGATAACCAATGAGAGTTTAGATGGTCCGACGTTAAAGGAAATGTTAGGATGTGCAGAGAAATATACCAATAATTATCATCTTAAGTGTAATGATGGCCTTGGACTTTAAATGTACACTCCCTATTGGTCGATATTTATTTCACTTGTTAAATATTATACAAATGTTGTTTTCTATTTTATGATACGATGTGGTCTGGTTGATTGGTATATAAATAGAGTATGTCTGAAATATAATGATTCATATCTCAGAGGCTAAGACTTGCGTTCTGGACTCAACTGGCTGCGCTATACAGCGAAGTAGGGCCAATCGGGACTCTAGGTCGTTCATTTCGTGTTTACGTGTCATTGATTCGATCGATAAATACGCTGCACATCTAATCTGCAATCCACAAGACACAACAGGAAATAAGCATGAAGACTTAAAGCACAGTTTCTTCCTAAGTGATACTTGTCAGAATAGTCCATCTGCAGTTTTGAGGGATTGAATATTTAGTGAATGAGAACACAAACGAGAACAATCGAACGTATTTGAATATAAAATTACAGAACATTTTAATAAAATCTGAGAACTATACATGAAATACCTGATTTACAAAATGTCAGTTAATTGTCTCAGACTTCAATGTTCTTTCGTTTCTCGTTCTCTTTCCTTCGATCTTCTTAATCTTCTGCCGCCTGACATTTCACTTTCGACTGATGATATATACTACTGATATCAGTCGATATCAGTAGCACATACCACAAACGTACCTCATAAAATTGAGATTCATGTCACACATAGTCACAGTCAAACATGTTACTAATGAGTTAGTTGAGTTAGCAAGATTTCGTTTTTTTATTACTGTTGGCAAAATTAGAAGCTTATAAAGATCTTTGGAATAAAAATCTCATTAAAGAAAACGTTTGTCCCGACTAAATGTACATATTTTTGATCCAAGAGAAACTTTATAACACTGTTGTTTTTGACAAGTCATAATGGAAAGTACTTTCTAACTTATTGAGAAATATTCTTTAATGAACAGCTAATTACTTAGCTTAATTATATACATGCAATTAATAAGTCACAGTATGTCGTTGCTTACTCATATATGCACTAATGATGAGCTAATGCATGGTACTCATAGTAAGGTTGTATCAAATGCTATCTTCAATGATGTTGCCAACTGATTCTTCAGGAAATCATCCATGATGTTACCCATGGATTTCAAATCAATGGATATTTAGTAAACAGAAGTATTTCGTTCCAATCAGTTTTTCGTCATACACATATATATGATTTACAACAACAAGATAACACTAACAGGGTAGAAGTGTTTCAGAAAAAGAGGCATACATAGAAGATCAGTGACCAGCTAGCATACTCATTTTCACAACTCAGTACTAATCGAATATGAATAAAATTAACGAAAGTCATAACCAATCGTGCAACAGTGATTTGCACCGATGGCATTATCGAAGATTAATTCAGGAGTATCTGTAACCTTTTTAATAAAACTGATTTTCTTACTAAATTCGTCGCACAAAAGTGAATAAAATCATATCGATGATAACAATCTTTCAGAATAAGTTAATTTTCTTGAAGTTACAGTTTATAAATGATGCTACCAGACAGATACTAATACAGAGATCAAGAAAAGCTTAACAGAAAACATTCCCTACAGCCGATTCAAATCAGATTTTTACAATTGCCCGAATAGTGAAAACCAATAACAAAGACAGACTTTCAGAATTCGCCAAACTCATGAGTATCTATCAACCAGCTACATTAGAGGCACATTTCGACAACTAGATAATCTTAATGTCGAACATCATTCAACCTAGTTGAGCAAAGCATAATTAAGGATGATTCTGAGTTTTATACTCGATAACTTGGTGGACAACAGATATCAGGTTGACTTAAACAAAGGTTTTGAGATTATTTATTGTATGACATGAAATTCACCACCTGAATTAAGAGTTTGTCTTTTCGCTATCACTGAAGGTATCAGAACCCAGTTTTTCAACCTAAAAAAAGTTTGGTTAAACCCTCTCAAACTTGGCCATCACTGTAGGAGTGGGTTTTTAGTGGGTCCATTTATTTAGACATCAATTAGATCCGACAATGTTGTTTACGGGTTCATCACTTTAGTGGCCAGAGATCTGACTCTAATTAGATCGGGTGAATGATTGTTATCAAAATATACATACTTACTATTCTCGTATGTCTTTATCGACTTAACTCGCGTCGGTGCATAACGGAATTAAATAAGTTGAATAAGAAAATGGATTTTTGAATACACATAATTTGTACGCTAGCTGATCTGGACAGACAATCTGACTAACGAAGCGAAATGACGCTCAATGAAAACTGCATGTGAGCTAACTCCATTTAATGAAGCGTTAATTATCACTTATAGTCACACAAAAATACGTTACAGATATGTGATGAATTGAATAAGATGTACATGCACATGCACTCATACAAAAATAGTCAGGGTGGATAAGTAAATAATGAAGAAGTCTAAAACGTGACTCAAGAAGGATGGATAAATTGGCCTGTTCAGAAGCTAGAATAAGTTGTATTGGCTTAACATAGTAATCGACACTACAGGTTAGAAACGAACAAAACCCAAGTTCCTCGGTTTGATTCCTTGTTATAAGGTTCTAAATAGGCACCTCTGTGGAGTCTAAAACCAAGATGAAATGACTATTTATTGCTTACAGATTATCGATAGTCTAACTTAAATCCCAAAATCTACATACTGATAATTATTATAATATAAATTTCAATTGTTGAGGTCATGAGTCAATTGAAGTTAGATCATCACAGAAAACTTCGAAGCACTAAAATAGCCGTTTCGTCCTATTGTGAGTTTCCTCAGCATTACACATCCACGATCCCGTCTTGCGAGATTCCAACCCAGGACCTATCAGTGTCGCGCTCGAGCACTTAACTTATTAAGAAACTAATTTGAGCTTAACTTATTTATAATACACATTTTAATTTTTCCATTTTGTGTTTTCTTTTCATATCCTATTAGGTGTTTTTCCAATCCCTGAACTAATGAGTAATCTAGAAAGTAATACAGCTTATTGGGCCAATAATATTGAAAAAGAGAAAAAAACACATGTAACTTATCAAACAGAAACAAAATCAATATCTGTTCACCAGGATTAAACCTTATTTTATTTTATTTTTTGTTTTTTGTTTTTGTTTGTTTTCGGTTTTATATTTATTTTTCAATACTTCACATTTATTTGTTCCTTTGTTACCAGGTTAGAAATAAATTAATGTAAGCATATTAAATATACATATTAGGTCATACACACATACATAGATATGCATGTATGCATATACATCAAATCTATCTATCTATCTATATCTGTCCTATTCTATCCTTTCCTGTCCTATCCTACTCTATCCTATCCTATCCTGTCCTGTCCTATCCTATCTATCCATCAATCAATCAATTAATGAATCCATGTATCTATCACATTGATATAGAAGAAAGAATAATCTAACAGAATCATATCGGTTGTTTACTCATCCACTATTAATATTGTTGTGGTTATTGTTTTTAATTGGATTCAATTAGTCAGTTCCAACTGAATACTCATTCATTAGTTAATTCTGTACAAACTATACACAGTGTACTTGAAAACGAAGAAAAACAAACAAACAATAAAATGGAAAATAAACAAAACAGTCTAGAATTTTTGTTGAAAATTCTTCTGAGTAATTTTTTTTCTAAAAATTGTTCATTCTTTTTTCTTTTCTTTTTTTCTTGTTTTTCTCTTTTTTTGGTTTTGTATGATAAATAATTGTTCAGTTGTTAAATTCTTCGAAATCGTTCAATAGAATCATCATCTAATTCTAGATCCATCTTCATGATATTCATATTGATATTGTCACTTGTCATTCTATTCATTTTTAATGACGTCTTTTTTGTTTTCTCTTTTTTTTAATAAGATGCCAAATTATGTTGATAGAGAAGATTTTGGTTGTTGTACAAGTATGCTTATAATTACATAATGACATCATCACTACCACTACTACTATTACCACTGCCGCTACTACTACTACTTCTAGTACTACTACTACTATTACTCTTATAAGTAGTAGTATTATTTCTTAAAAATAATTTTGTTTATTCAAATAAACCATTTTAACTCATTCATATTATTCAACAATTCAATATTATTCAATGAATATTCTTCATTTATGTCTTACAATCCATTATTAATCATAGAGATTAATATAAGTAGTATTTTTTTTAAAACTTGATCAATATTTTATTTCATTTCATTGTTTGCTTGTTTGTTTGTTTGTTTTCTACCATGTAAAACAATCAAATTTTACTTTAATCTTTCTATTCTATATTACTAATTGTCTACCTCGTGTAGAATCATGTTTGATTGTGTTATTATATTGATTTATGACACTTTTATTGATCCATTACGTACTTATTTACGCCTATTCCTATCGATGGAGCATAGGCTACCGACTAGCATTCACCATATGTCTATATATGGATACAAAATAATGTTTATATATATATGGATAAGTTTATATTTCTATGTCTATTATATGTCTAAATGTATTCGTTTATTTTGTTGGTAACTATGAACATCCTCAAAGAATTGTTCTTCCATAATAGAAATGTATTATTATCATTACTGTGTGAATAGTAATTATGATTGAGATATATTCTCAACTTGTATTGTACAGTGATAACTTAACATTCATTATAATCACATATAATCCATCCAGATCATTGAAGATAAGCTTATGATGATGTAATCATACTTATTATGTTGTTGATGTAATAAGACTATTGTAAATCAACAGTATGCAAATTGTTATTAGAAAATATTATGAATCGATATAAATTATTCTTGTCATTGTGTATTGTTTTTGTTTTTTTTATACGATGGTATATTTGATAGTCTGACGATGATTTGTGACTAAGTATCTGACTCTCATTGGATTGTATGCTGATTGTTTACTTACTTACATTTACTTACACCTGTTACTCTTAATGGAGTATAGGCCGCTGACCAGCATTCTCCAACTCACTCTATCCTGGATTTTCCTTTCTAGTTTTATCCAATTGTTGTTCAGCCTTCTCACGTCTTTCTTTATTCATTGACATAATATGTCCTTTGTTCTTCAACTTCTCCTTTGACCCTGAGGATTCCATGTGAGGGTTTGCCTTGTGAAGCAGTTCAGTGCTTTCCTCAATGTATGTCCTATCCACTTCCAGCGGTTGTTCCTGATTTCTTCCTCCACTGGGATCTGGTTTGTTCTCTCCCATAGTAGATTGTTGCTAATTGTGTCTGACTAACGGATCCAAAGTATTTTGAGTAGACAGTTGTTAATAAACACTTGTATCTTCTGGATGATGGCTTTTGTAGTTCTCCAAGTTCCCGCCTGATGCATTAGAACTATCTTGACATTTGTATTGAAAATTCTGAGTTTGGTGTTGGTTTATAGATAGTTCTTTTTAGTTCCAGATATTCTTCAATTGTAGATATGCTGCTCTTACTTTGTTGATTCATGCCTTCATATCTGTACCAGATCCACCGTGTTCATCAATGATTCTCCCCAGATACGTGAAGGTTTTCACATCTTCCAAATTTTCTCCATAAATTGTGATTCGATTGTTGCATATTGTGTTGTAACGGAGAATCTTGCTTTTCCGTTTGTGTCTGTTGAGACCTATTACTGTTGAGGCTGCTGCTACACTAATTGTCTTCTCCTTCATTTGTTCTTGCGTGTGGGATAGGAGAGTCAGATCATCAGCAAAGTCTATATCGTCCAGCTGCAGTTTATTCAATGAATGTAATAGCAGTAATATCATTCTTCTTCTTCGTGGGTTTCGAACTTTCCTGACTATCTAAATACCATTGTCCTTTGTTCATTTGATAGATTTAGAAAGATGATAAACTATTCTGACATATCATCTAACATTTCTTCACTAAGTTTTCAATATATGAGTTTTGAAGCTGAAGATTTTAAGGAATCTCTAATTTTTAACTGATAAGGGCTTTCTACTTGGTAAAAACTAGGTCAAGTAATGTATGTCCAGTTTGTGATGAAAAATACAACCTCTAATTAAAAGTTACCACTTGTAAATCTAACCATTTTGAAGATTAAGTCCATGTTCATTGATTTTACTGATTAGAATATCATAAATCCACCAAACTTTGTTGGCTCTCGGATTTCAATTCATTGATAAAATTCTATGTTCGTTATGGGTTAAGTGTTACATTATTATTATTAGCTTTATTCAGTATTATATTCTTGGTACCATATAGAATTCTCAGCACAAAGTATTTCAACAAGTTTCGTTTTCCATCCTGATGATAAATATTGAGTGATCGCCAATTAGATGTTGGCAGTTTAGGAATCGATATCTGAATAATGTACATTATTTTCTATATATAATGTCAGTAACCAGAAAGTTACTGGCTGTGCAATTTCCTGACTGAATAAGTTGTGCAATTAATTGACATAATGATCTGTTCAAACAAACGAAACTTAGTTAACTTGTTGAAATATCTAGATGGCAGGAACAGGCAGTCCAGATATTCAAGCAGGCCGCCTAGTTACGCGAATTCTCTCAAGAAGTGATAAATGAAAACAAGATTCCTAAACATTATATTTTGGTTGAGATCATGAATCAATTGATGTTAGATCACCATTTAAACCCAGGAAGCAGTGAACGGCCATTTCGTCCTATTGTGGGACTCCTAAGCAGTGAGCAACCATGATCACACCTTGCGATATTCAAACCCAGGGCCTTCGGTCTCGCGCGCAAATGCCTAACCGGCATCTAACGGTGTTAGTGTGTAGCCTCAACCAATCCACGAAATTGTGCAACGATCTTCCATTGCACAAAGGTAAATACCTGTTTCTACCCGACATGGATTAGGCCTTTGAATTTTAATCTTGAAATAATGAAATGTTTCAATAATGTTTTTTTGATAAACTTCACTTGATCTTTATTATTAACTTTATGCCACCTAAAGTTACAGTCCAGTGGTCTTGAGTGCTCTTAGCGGTATGAAGGCGGTTATCACTTCCCGGTCGCCCACACCGTGGGAGGGTTCTTCGGGAGGTGCCTGAAGAGGAAATTGGATTAGTGACCTGAGAGCGTGACCACAGTGCCCAAGGGACAACTGCTTGAAATCGGTCGCACACGACTTTTTATGGGTAATTTTCGTGTTAGCTCCGTACTTTTTGAGACCTTACCGTTGGAGACGGATATCTGTGGGATAAGGCGAGGTGTGCATTTTTAGTGTCGACCTTTTCTAATCCCACCCCTCCTTGTGGGAAGGCAGCATCGCTGTCATGCTGGTCGTCTGAAGGAAACACCTTACTGCTGTCACACCTCTGTACAGTCAGCAGTACGAATTCGCCTTCGGACCTTGGGTTTGCTGTTTTTAGTCTTACCGCTCTTCAACCGACCTGTCTAACATGGTAGGACCTTGAGGAACAGTTGTTTCGGCCAGTATAGCTCAGTTGCTTGATCACGATAGGCAAGCTGGACTACCACGTCAAGGTAGCAACAACGGTCGGGACCTAAAGTCTCAACAAAACTTCAACCGGTATCAGACAGTCATGACTGTCTATCTGTCCACACATCTATCTATCTGTCTATCTATCTATCTGGTTGACTAATGAACAAGTTGGTTAGCTTACTTTTTATCATACCTACGTAGCAGTTCGATTTAAGAAGAAAAAAAAAGCAACATTCCAATTTATAACAAACGTTTATTTTTATTAATTAAAATTCTATTTCTTTTTTTTTCTTATTTCTTTCCTTCCATTGATTTATACAAATAATTTTCTTTCCTCTTCTTCTTTTTTTTGTTGAAAAATCAACTGGCGCGACTTTAAAATTTAAATGTCGCATAGTTGAAATGAACTGAACAATACAAACTATAAACCAGAATGAAAAAAAAAAGTAGAAGAAGAAAAAAAATTAGTTTTTTTCTTTTTTTCTTTCTTTCTTTGTTTTGTAACTTGTTCAATGAATTCAATTTCAATTGAATAATGTTGAAGTTGAAGTACAATAAAGATACATATACAATAATAATAATAATGAAGTTTTAGTTAGTATAAGGAACAATTGAAATGAATTATTGAATATAAGGCAAGAAAATTGTATACAATAAGAAGGATTTCTTAAAAAAGAAAAAGAACAAACATAAAAGAAAGAAAAGAAAAGAAAAAGAAAAACAAAAGAAAATAAAGATGCCTAGAACATTGTTTGTTGATTGGATTTCAAAAACTTACTAATATTGTATGTATATATAAACAAAAACAAAAAAAAAACGTAGACTTATCAACAAAACACAAAGATATTGATTTGAGTACAATAAAAGTCAGTACAATATTACTGTATAACTATGACTACTGCTAATATTATCATCATCCTCATCAGAATATTAATGTTCATTGCAGTAGTGCTTAAATAGATGGCTAATTCAAAACAAAATAACCAAGAAAACCAAATGCAAAATCGTGAAATATGTTCATCGATTAGAAGTAACCGAAAAATCAGAAGGGCACTTAGTACTGTTATCAGAAAAATATTATGTAATCGTTACTTTCCTCGAAAAAAAGAAAACAATCCCCAGTTAGACAAACATCTTTATGGAATTACAAATAATGTAATTCGAAATTTCTTATTAACATTAAATGAATTGAATACTATTGGCTTTTTTTAAGCATGTACATTATGTTTGAATAGAGACACGCTTAAAATGATTGTAGCCATGGTAACTATTTTTATCTATTATATAAAGATCCATTTAAGAAAACAGATAGAAGAAATGATTATAATCAAAACAAAAACAACACTGTATTGTTATAACTTAAGAATAAAATGCAAAAAACAAGAAGAAGATAAAGAAGAAAATGATAATCTGACAAAGTATTGAAGGCACTTTGATAGATCTAAAATATTTAAAGGAATACATATTGGAAAGAAAAAAAAAAGAAATTCGAAATAACCAGGTAACCAGGTATTAAAGAAGAAAAAGAAAGAAAACAAAAACAGAAATAGAAGACTTTTGACTCAAACAAAATGCAAACAAACAATGACAGATCAATATTAATATAAAGTAAATACAATATATACTACTGAAGAAAAGAAAAAGAAAAAGAAAACAGAGTTATTAACAAAGCCAAAACACATTAGTTTCCATTGAGCAATTGCTAGAAAGAACACAATTCACTATATCATACAATTACTATTCATGAATTATTTAATGATTGTATGTATGTGAGTGTGAGTATATATATGTGTGTATGTGTGTGCGCATGTACGTGCACACGTGAGTACAAATAGAAACGAAAAAAAGGCGGGAGAAAATTTTTTTTTTTAAGAAACAAACGATTTCTGTATTCTTGTTTAAATAGTTTGTGTACTGAAAATAGTGAATTTGTAAATTGCAACGTATTATTATTATTATTATTATTACATGTCTTTACTGTATTTGCAGTGATCTATATATGTGAATGTGAAGAGAAAAAAAAGAAGGAATATCTTTATTTGGATCATGTTTAGTTTTTTGTTCTTTTCTAAATTATACAAGCATATATGATTAAGATTGTTTATCTGTACAATTATGTAAGGGATTCTTTCTCAAGTTTTAGTCTCCTTCCTATGTCTTTCTCTCTCTCTCTCCCTCTGTCTCTCTCTGTAGGTATATATGTGTATGCGTGTGTGTGTGTGTGTGTGTGAGTGTATACTTTTCTGATTCTCCAAACGTCACAATTATTCAGCAGAATATTGTTTTATATTAGAGTAGATTAAGATAAGGAATTCTCTTTTTTTGTTTAAATGAAAATAAATCAATTTTGGAAGACATTTTGATGATCACATGAAGTGAATATCACGAAATTTCAACCATATCATCACCATCATCAGCATCATCATCATCAGCAGCAGCATCATCATCATCACCATCATTATCATCATCATCATCATCGGCATCATCATTAACATCAATATGCTACTACATAGTGAATGATTGTTCATTTTTAGCATCCCATAATATACTGAATAAATCATTTTCATTCAATTTTAATTGTTTATTAAATAATCCATTTAATCCTTTTGATATTTTATATTCATAATTTTCATTATTATGATATAATAATTCTATAGTTTGTTTCATTCTAACTTGTTTCCATATATCATATTGAAAATGATGCCATGTAGCATCAAATTCACGACTCCATTCTAAAAATTCTGTTAACATAATACGTCGTGAATTTGCAGCAATTTTCTCTTGTGATATAAATGTATTATTATTATTATTGATATATTGATTATGATTATTCATTTGTAAATCAATATTCAATTGTGTTGTTTCCATAGCAACAATATCAATTGCTTCATGAAATAAATTTAAAAAATGTTCATGTAAACGTTGTAAACGTTGATTACGTTTAATTTTAATTATATTCCATTCATATTGTATATGATTTAAATGAGAATCATTTATAATTTGATCAGAAATTTCTTCATTTTTTATTAATATTGGATCAGTTAATTTTAATGCCATATATGCACTTAATAATAATGGATGATGAGCTAAGAAACTACTTAATTGAGATATATAAGCATCAAGATATTTTAATATTGGATAAGCAACTTGTTTATTACTATTATGATGATGATGATTTACAATTTTAGAATGAATTATCCCATTATTATTATGATTATTGCCATTACTACTACTGTTATTATTATTGTGATTATCAGTAGTATTAGTAGTAGTATTGATAAGTGAGTCTTCTGTACTTAAATCTCCTAAAGCATTACTTAATTTTGTTAAATCTAAAACATGTACACAATTAGGTTCTGTTTGAAAATATATTAATTTTGTATTATATTTCTTATTTGATGTCGTTACTCTGGTTGATGATGATGATGACGAGCACGACGACGATGATGATGATGATGAGGAGGAGGATATTAAACAATGATCCCCATCTTTGTTATTATTATTATGATGATGATGATTAATTGAACACTGAAATGATAGTTTTTCTAAATCATCAGTGAATTTATTGTTACCAATTGAAAAATGGTTACTTGAATGATTTAAATCTGTTGGGGTTTCTTGATTAAAATTGGTTGATAATAATGTTGATGATGATGACGATGCTGCTGCTGATGATGATGATGATGATGGTATCATAGTTTTATTAACCAACAAAGAACAACCAATTAATAAAACGGGGACACAATCTGTAAATCGATTCTGGAAGAAAAAAATTCAAAAATAATATTTACTCAATAACTAATTTAATATGATGTTGTGCATATTGATTGAATAATAATGCTCTGTAAATTCACTTGGGTTTGTTTTACTCGTATCTTCCCATTGTTATTTAAGACTGCAATTGATCAGTCTAATGCACAAGCAGGTGGCTAAGAGGACTTAGTAGATAAGTGGATAACGCCATGGCGTTTGAAGCAAACGGTACTGGGTTCGTGTACAGGAGTGAACAACAACTCTGCGAAGCAGGCACATCCAGCTGACGAGTTCCAAATGGGACGAAACGTGCGTTTTGGATTCCATTGCTAGCCACTATCCATTTTTGCTTAATAATGTTCTATGCGTGCTTAATTGTTAATCTGATAATATGAATCATTGTTGTTTATGAACGAACAAGTTTCAAACTAAAAAGCAAGCATCTACTTTACTTATTTAAAATACTAAACATTTAATCGGATATTTTGAAGTTAGCATTGTCATGTATTCTATCTTTGAAACCTATTTCACTTTACCTACTTACTTACTTAGGGCTATTACTCATTGTGAGTCATACGCTACAGATAAGGTTTCTCCAACCTATTCTATATCGCCCACTAACATTTCTAGTTATTCTTAATTACTATCCGCTATTTTTGCGTCCGATTCCAATATCCAACGCAAAGTATTATTTGACCTGCTTCTTCTCCTATTCCCACAAGAATTAGAGATTAAGGCTTGCCGCATGATGTAATTTGGTAGTACCCGTAATGTGTGTCCTGTGTAAAGTTTCAGCTAAAATTTGGTTTGTTCTTTTACACATAACGTTGTTTCTGATAGTTTCTTGACAATGGATATGGAGTACCTTGCGTAAACAACTCTTTGTAGGTATCTGTACATTTGTATATGTAGATTGATTATAATTTGTTAGCGGCTTTCGTCACATTGGTCCGACTAGAAATATCATTGAAAGACAGGGATCACCAAACATTTGCCTCCCATTATAATCATCTATTATGAATAAACTCCATATGTCAACTGTGCATCTCTTCCTAACTCTATTTGCAAGACATCTTGCCAGCTTTCGTTTGCAACGAATGTGCACAAAACTAACATATTGTTTACTAGTATAGAACTTCTTTTCAGTGTAATAAAACGTCAAGAAAATGTAATTTATTACAAAAATTCCACATCATTAGATAGCTGAATGTATACCATTAAAGTTGGCCCAGAGGTTCTTTTATTTTAATATTCTAATCAACGATGATGAAATAATCATAAATGCAAAGGCAACAAAAAAGTCAAGCTCATCAATAATCTTTACCACGAATTCATTCCCCATTTTATTGGTCAACACATTTAAAAAATAAACATATAATTAATATTAGAACGGGTTTTGGAATTCAAGATTAGAATCTAAAACCTGTCAGTCACACACACGAGCGCTTAACATCTAGACCCCTGAGCCGGCCGGTATTCAACGGCGTTAAGGTCCAACTTCAACTGATCCACGAAATTGAGAGATACATACATCATTGTCATCGGTGGATTACTATCTCACAACAGACCCGGTTGAACTGTACTGGTCACTACTTCTCACTAGAACTCCAGGAAATACGTCTTAAAGACCGTCCTAGTGAGCATATGTTAATTAATATCAGAAGGAGTTTTGTAGATATTATAGTAATTTTTCATAGGCGAGATGATGAGTCAATTGAATCTAGACCACCACAAAAAACCTGGAAGCATAGGACGACTGTTTCATCCTAGTATGAGACTCTTCAGCGTTATGCATCTACTATCCCTCCTCTTGGGGCTCGAACCCTGGACCTATCAGTGTTGCGCTCGAGTGCTTAACTATTAGATCACTCATCCAGAATCGTATAATTATCCATTCCTCACATTGATGATATAAAACATCATTGATAAATATATATTGAATTTCAATAAATCACTTACTTTTGCTATCCATAACATATCATCCCATGTTAAATATGGATCATTCATATCATTCAATACATGATTTATATTATTTTCTCTTTCATTTTGAAATAATCCATGAATTTGATTACAATCATTAAAATATTCATTTGTTGAAATGTATATATTAGATTCATTAATGCTTTGATTATTATCCTCATGTTCATGATTATTGTTGTTATGACAACTTGACAAAGATCCCATTTTATCATCATGATTATTATTATCTTGTATAAGATCACCTAATAATGACATTGCAAATACTGAAATACGACGTAGAAATAAATCACTCCATATATTAGCTATTGTAAGACACCATTTCAATGTAGGATATTCAGTGTAATCTAAATTTAAATCAATTTTTTCAGGATTTGGAATGAATCCATTTTGCCATATATTTGACCATGATTTCTTTACTTTAGTTAAATTTATTGGAATTGTTATGGTATTTTCATTATATAATTGATCTAAATAGGAATGAATAGATAAGAAATTTTCATAATTAACATCAATTTATTATTAGAGATTAAGGTGAGACTATCATTTATAGACGACCTTTCAGTGACGCTAGATTGACCGTGTCCACCTAGTAACCAGGACCAAATGAGGGTTATAAACCAGTGTGAGCAATTAGAATTATGATTTAAAGTTGATTGTCAACGTAATGGAATTAGATTTAGGGTTTACATCACGAACTGACATCAGCTATAATCCGAAAACGGTATTGTGCCAAATGAATGAATGAATGAATTTCGCGCCAAAACCTAAGACCTGTTATCTTTTACCTGATTGAATCGTCGATAAATTATAGTCTTGCCGAGATTCGATTTGAAAGTGAACTGTATAAAGTGAAATTCCTTAACAAAGTAGTATCATTATCATTTCTTATTCAAACCCCCTTTAAGTATTCAAAAACAGTTTGTTCTCGCCTTAAATCTACCCTGGTAATATTGGCTTATTATCCAGAGTGATTAGGTTTCAAATTATGTTCACTTTATTATTATTATCACATTTATTATTATTCTTGTCTCCTCTTACCCCATTTCGCAGTCCAGCTGACCTTTTATTTTTTATATATAAATGTTCTTAACAAGTATGTTATGTGTGATATGATTGTTCGAAATGTATTGCGCTAATATATCATCATATAGTTCCGATAATCTTCGTCTTCTTATTACACTATCGAAATTTATCAAAGGGTCTAATTGTTTTAAATAAAATGTTTGCCTACTAATAAGTAGTAAAAAGAGATAAACAAAATATTGTGGCATTTTAATATTCATGCCGAAATGATGTCATAGGTTTTGGCCATCCGTTAAAATTTAAACGTCTACGAAATTTATCATATTTTGTTTAATTTAAAATTGTGCTCTGTATGTTTGAGTGCAGATACCGTTAAATATTCTATTTCCAGCTTTAACATTAACAGTACTAGTAATTTTTTCATTGAACATATCTTAATGTAGTTCACTGAACATATTTGCCGTAGATTGCTATGTATAACGTTAGTCGCTTGTTTTTGATAACATTTACACTACAATATTCATCACTTAGCAACTAATTAAACTGAAACGATACTGAAAGTGAATGGTACGATGCAATAAGTGCATACTGGAAATGTTCCGCGTAACATTAGCCATATATACTAAGCGGTAAATATCTGCATTAGAAACCTGGTTTTTAGACAAGTATTATTATTTTTGAATCTATAATTATAATAACTCTGTTCATTATCTGATCAGTTAGCTATTAGATATTAATTAAAACTGATGATTCTTTACATCGAGAATTTACGTTATTCGGAAGTGGGAGATAAGAACAGTATAAGACATTACTAGACTAAAAGACCTAGAATTCGATTACATCTGCAGTTATGAGTATGAACTACCAAGAACATTTAATTTCCCGGCTAAATATCTAATTTTTGCTCGATATATCATTCATAATCACTTGTAGTCCCATAGTTATTAATCACTGAGTAATATTACCAAGCAACATGTCATTTATTCTCTTAATGTTGATCATATGTATATGTGATAGAAATGAGAACCTGATTTGAATAGTATTAATCTATACTAACTTTCTCAGTTTCGTTCCTTTACAACGAAAAAAGAACCTTATCAAGACACTACATCATAGAATCAAGACTATATGCACTATGGATACGATTGAAGATGAAACAAAGACATTGTTTACAACCCTGAAGGAAAATGAATATCCAGAGAAATTTATAAATAAAAACTTAGCCAATAAAGGACAGCGTAGAGAATGCCCAACGGTGAATAAAAAAGCCTCTATATATACGCTTACAATTCAGAGGCGACGCGCCAAGTGAAATGTTAAGACTTAAGTTGAGTAGATCAATTCAAAGGACTTTTAACGCAGCTAGACTACAATTAATGTTCTCCACACGACCAATAATCACTCCGAAGTTGAAAGATAAATTACCTAGACTAGCCACCTCCTGCTGTATCTATCAATTCAACTGCTCCTGTGGAGCAAGTTATATTGGCAGATGTTCTAGGAATTTGTACATTCGGGCTCGTGAGCACCTACCTGTGTGGTTAATCAAAGGTGTTGTCAAAACTGTTAACAGCTCCATCTTAGACCATTTATTCCAAACAGGACATACAGCAAATATGGAGCAATCTTTTGCAATAATCTATCGTGTCAACAGAAGTCTACGTAATTCCGTCAGACTGCGAATCCTACAGACGGCTGAAGCAATTGCTATTCGGATCAAAAAGTCAGAGCTTTGTATCCAAAAGAAGTATGTTCAGCCACTCCTTTTACCCTGGCCAACTAGCTAATAATCAATCTTATAATGTGGTGACATAATCTGATTAATGTTCATTTTATATCCCAAACTTATTATCATTATTACTGCTATTATTATTATTATTACTATTATTGTCTTTACACTTGATAAACCCTTTTTGAGGAATTTATTCAATATCCATCCCTGAATCTACACTATATTTGACCTAATTATTCTACATATTACGCAATTTCCGATTTGTAATCACAATATTCTCTCTCTCTCTTTCTTACCCCATGTTGACCATATTTATTCTGATCATTTATCTCACAATTTCATTTCGCTTATAAACTGATTCAAGTTAACACTTTATATTAGTCAGCCCCATGATTAACGATTTTATTTTATATAACAAACAATTCCTGATTCATGTATTACAATTTCCAAATGATGATGTACTCTTTGCCCTTAAATCTGGCCAATTTTATGGATTATTAATTTGGATATGAGATAATTGTAGAACCTGATGAGAAATTCATTGAAAAGAATATTCTTCATTCATATAAATTGTGTTTTTAATATAATGGGAATTTTTCAGCGATTATACATAATCTTAATTTCACCTAACAATCTGATCTGCGATCATTTCGGATCAGTACAAATTACATTACATCAATTGATAATAGGATAACTTACTTTTATTTTGGAAAATACCAGACATTCCATCAATTTCATTATCATTTTTGTTTAGAACAGTGAAAATCTGAAAAAAAGAATGAAAATATATAAAAACGCTTTTTTAAACACTGATTTCAATGATAAGCATTTAATGTATTAGTAACCTATTAGTTTGATACTGACCAACACTGTTGAATAGTGATAACATTAAATTAACTAAAGAGATTAACAGAGGTTGATTATGAATACAGTGGACCAAGGTGTAGTTATAAGTCTTCCCTTAAACCGTGAGATTAAAATCACTTTGTGTCTTTCTTTCTACCAACTAGTCCTTTCTTCCTTTACCATCTCCTTATATTCAATCTTTTTTTTATATATTGCCGCCACTGAATTAACTACTTGTATGAATTTGGTGTTCATCTTGTTGTGCTTATGAGGTATGGGAACTTGGATTGATGCATATATGTGACTGGTCCTACGTTATAGCTGACTGACTAACTGACTGAAACAGATTAACATATATGTTGTAGGATCCGGTACAAGTATCGCGAATAAACTTTCCAAACTTTTCATCAATTCAAAGTAAATAAAAAGAGAGGTCATGATAATTGAAGCTAAAAACGAAACAGTGAAAATAATAATAATAGTTACAGTTGTAGTTTATAATAAACACATTTGGAACATACTTCTAAAGAATGGACGGATATTACTTTGGCAACATTCATATAAAGATTCAGTGATTTTAAAGGACTAATAACTTATCCATGTTTGGTCTAGGCTTTTTCAACCGACCCAGATACTAGCGAGCGTAGCAGGCTAGAGTAGGATACAGTTGAATATGCGTAAAGAATAGTTTCTTTACAAAAGGAATGATAAATCAGCCATTAGTGCATGATGAGACAACCTTGAAAAGTGTTGTGACCAACTCATTAAAGTACCTAGCGTGTACTGGTAACATTTATGTAACAGTCTTGAACAAAGATTCCAATCTCAAGTGAATCAATAGCTACCTCAGGATTATAGATGTCTTTTGTTAACAATCCATATGTAATATAAAACCTAGGTGAAGAAGGTTTTCCTATTGATTTCATTAATTCACATAACAAACCATAGTATACTGCCAGCAATTGTAACATTACATAACGATAGTTTGCTATCTAAAAGAAAATGAATGAAAATCAAATTCTCATCTAAACAAACAGTTCATAAAGTTGATTTTAATAGATTCAATTGGATTAAAGAATTCAGCTTTACGATAGATAGATAGATAGATAGATAGATAGATAGATAGATAGATAGATAGATAGATAGATAGATAGATAGATAGATAGTATTTTGTATTTATACAAGCATCTTTTCAAGTTGAAAGAAATAAAAAGAATGAAAAGTCACAAAAAGAATGAATTTCCTCTTTATCTGCAAGAACATTTATACATAAACTAACTGATTCTTGAAATAAACATAAAGCAGTTTAGTCATAAAAGATTATCATACTAAGTTAATAGGCAGTTTCCATTCAATTTAGTCATTCATACAGTTCTATTTAATGATATGAAAGTTTATTTTACAATGAAATGAGTATTATTACTGATTGATAGACATCATCACATCGGCATCCTTATTGTTTATCACGCATTATTTAAACGTTTATACAAATATACACCCCTATTATTCATTATTCATGTTTGTAATTTCTTTTTGCAAATATCGAACAGATAAAGACCCTTATGAAGAATATGTGAAACTCAAAACAACTATCAACAAAGTCAGAATTTTCAATACCAATATCAAAATAGTTCTACCGTATAAGGCGGAATCTTGGAAAACTACGAAAGCCATCATCTAGAAGATAAAAGTGTTTATTAACAGCTGTCTAAACAGAATACTTCGGATCCGTTGGTCAGACACAATCAGCAACAACCTACTATGGGAGAGAAGAAACTAGATCCCAGTGAAGGAAGAAATCAGGAAGACTTGCTGGAAGTGTATAGAACACACACCCAACTGCGTCACAAGACAAGCTTCCACGTGGAATCCTCAAGGTCAAAGGAGGAGGAGAAGTGGAAGACCAAAGAACACATTACGTCGAGAAATGTAGACAGATATGGGAAGACTGAACAACAATTGGATAGAACTGTAAAGGAAGGCTCAGAACAGAGTAAGTTGGAGAACGCTGGTTGGCGGCCTATGCTCCATGGAGAGTAACACACGTAAGTAAGTAAGGTAATAAATACTCTTAATAATCAAAGTTTACTTTTATAAGCTCATGAGTTATCTATACAATTCATGGTTGATATTCAATTGTTTGTAAAGGTATCACTTTTATATTATCGACTGAAGTTTTTCAACGAGATATAATACCAAGATGTCGAGTTTTGTAAGAATTTTTTTACTCGACTGCACTATTATAAGTCTATAAAATTATATAATCGTATGATAGTTATGATAGTCATATTTATGTAAACATCTCTAACGCCAGTTTGAAATATCACGTATTGTGAAATAGGATGAAACAGTCATTGAAATGTGTCCCATTTGATTATAGAGGTTGTATCCCACTCCAAGTTATACATGTACATCTTCGAAGAGCTACAAAGTCAAAACACTTGTATAATTCTCTCTATAATTTTTAATGTTAATCCAATTGATATCTACTTAAGAGACATAAGATTATTTAGTTTTCTTGTAGTTGAATTTTTGTTGTTTTTTAGTAAGAGTAACAATGATAACTTGGTTCTTATTCGTATTTCTATGCTGATCTTTGCTATTATCTTATTTTACGAATTTTACCATTTGTCCCAACGTCGTGTTTGGCTATTGTATGTACAGAGTTGTTTCATTTCGAATATGTCTTCTTGAAAACAACGTTTTCCTGATCACATATTTCTCACTGTTTTGAGGATTACTGAGTAAATGCCTTGTATCGCTCGCCGTTTCATTGAGTTCTCATTAGATCACACATCTATTAAACGAAGTTATCGTAAGCTGAACGTAGCAGTATCGTTTCATCATATCGATTGTAACAAAAACTTATTAGCTGATCATAGTGTTATTGTTAACTGATTAAAATAAAGTATTAAGCAACAGTTGGCATTTATTTTAAGTATCACCTGTGATTCATATTTATCAAAAACCACGCGGAAATCAACTTCTAAACTATTCAGTTTATAATATTATCTAGTAAATGGAGTACACCCACTAAGATATTAAGTAAGAAAGATTAGTTCAATGAAGAGTTCTCTTGTCGGCGGATTCATTTTCAAAGCTGTAAAATCACAAATATATATATATATATATATATATATATATATATATTTCAGGATGATAATAATTACGATAACAATAATCATAAATTCACCCGGTATTGTTTTACTTGTATCTTCCCATTGTTATTTAGGAGTGCACTTGATCAGTCTCTTGTTGGCATATATGCCTACTGTGCGTACTGTCTCCATATAGCCTTAAGTCGCAAGCTTGATAAGCAAAGGATAATAGTGGCTAGCAGTGGAATGCAGTTTGACACGCGTTTCGTCCTATTTGAGACTTGTTAACTGGATGTACCCGCATCCCAGAGTTGATGTTCACCCCAAGGACTCAAACCCACTACCGTTCACTTCAAACATCATCGCCGTTATCTACTTAGGTACTGAATCCTGATAGTCATTGTGATTGTACAGCTTTAATAATGAATTCACTGAAAACAGAATACTTCGTTCAACTAATCATTCTTATAAAATTATCATCAATTATTAAGGACATTAATTCATTAAAGCTTTATTCAGATTTAATCATTAATGACTTTTCTAAATCATAACAATCTAAGATTTTGATAGATTCATTATATCTAACACAATATACAATACTTACCATTCAACTCTATCACATCCCATTGTTTTATAATTCTAGGGAACAAAAAATTCTAGGGACTACATTTTGAAATGAAAAAAACTTATATTCACTTAACAAGATCAGATCTCAACTTATTTCGATCATATATATATAGATTGCCTGTCAAGAAATGCAACAGTATTATGTAACATGATTCTATGTTAACTCAGTAGGAAATCAGTTAGTTATATTGTAATAGAAAATGAAAACAAAGAAAGTAATGATAAAATCAACTTGAGATGATTTCATTTCAAATGGTAAATGATTTTGAACTGTCATAATTGTCACCTTAGAATAAGGGATGTAAATATTTGTTGTTTTTTTTTAAATATTTTTAAAAGCAACTTATTCTAGTAATATAGATGTGGATAAATAATTAGCTGACATCCAATGGTATTAATGTCTAACTTCAATCAATCTACGAAGTTGCGCCACCGTATACCGTAGACTGATAGGTCCTGGGTTCGAATCTCGCGGGGTGCGGGATCATGGATGCGCACTGCTGAGGAGTCAAATAATTAGTTAGTTTGATTAGTTCATTCTACGGTGTATACTACTGATATCAACAGATATAAGTAATGTGTATCATCAATCGAATATGAAATACCTGACAGAAGAAGGTTAGGTTGATTGAAGAATAGAGAACAAGAACAGTGAATGATTGCTGTGGAAATGAAATAAATGTGAAATCTAAGTTGATTGATTGATACTTTTGCAAATGGAGTATTTAATGTATGGTTCACAGATTTTATTAAGATGTTCTGTAATTTTGCATTCAAACACATTCGATTTACCCTACTTGGGTTTTTGCTTACTACAATTCTACAAAATAATCTGGATTGACTTGAACTATACACCAATTGACGACCAGGGAACCATTAATAGCTTTTTCATTCTAGTTTAGGACTCGTTAGCAATGGATACTAACAACTATCAAGATTGTTCGTATTCAAGATATTCAGATGTTGGGGTTAGAGAATTACGTCTAGTTTGTTGATTCGTCATTTCATGATGCAAACAATCTTCAGATTGAAAACTCACTATGAAACGTCTATCCTAAATTTATTAATGAATAAATTCATTTACTTTGCTAATTCATATTTTGTCGCTACAGTTTTTATGACAGGTGGTTGTGGGTGTTTGGTAGAAAACCCTGCCTGACCTAGGTTATATCTTAATTGCCACTCGTCACTAAGGAGTACCAGCAATCTTAAGGGGACTGATACTACCAGTAGTATACAAAACTATTAAATATATAAGTAATAGAATTTCATTAATCACTAATATAGATAAGTTTTAGGGATTTACAATTGATTGATCGCTGGGTGGTGATCAATGTCGTGTATGTCAGGTCCATTTTAATGCAGATCGAATTCTCAGTCCTACAGGAGGTCAGTCACTGCCCGGACAGCCCAGTGGTAACGTCCCTGACTGTAAAGCTGAATGTCACAGGATCGAATCCGTCAGGGAGCATCAGTTCTCTCAAGATTACACGAACACCTTGCTGAGGAGTGCCAAGTAGCACAAAACCTAGGTCCAGGGTTTCCTGTTGACTAACTCCAACCACCATTCTAAGTTTTGGGAATGTTAGAAAGTTTAACAAATGAAACATAACGCATTACATTATAGTAATGAAAAGATAGAAAAATACAGTATAATAGTGATGGTTTATCGTTAAAATTATTTAGTGTCTATTGGCCGCATTATTTCATATGAAAAATATGTGACAATTTCCTGCGGAATGTAGTTTGCTAATAGTAAAATGATTTTGGTATTATGGATAAAATACCTGACTATGCTGACTACAAAATATTCTATTCAATAGTTGAAAACCCCAAACAGAACAACATTTTATGGTTGAACATTAATCGCTAAGGTGAAAGTCATTCAGTTGTGAATGAAAAATATTGAAATACTCAAACGAATAAAAGGGAAATCATAAACCGCATACAACTTAATAGCTGACTATAAAGTCTGTTCTTAAATTTCTCGTCAGGATTTATGATTATTGAAGTTCAACCATGTTGGTAGTAAGAAAAATATCGTTGTTAATAATGAACTATGGTTAGCCTGTAAATCAAATTGTTGAATATTGTTGATATCATGAACCGATATAAGTTCAGCATCAACTGAAAACAAGGCGGTACAACACAGCTGTCTTGTCATATTGTGGGACTTCTTAGAAAAGTGAATCCATAACGTCATCATAAAGGACAAAACTCAGGGCTTTCGGTTTAGCGAAAAGGTTCAATCTCCAGACCTCTACAATAGTGTACATGCCGAAATTTAACGAGTTCACAATACTTTCCGACCACCTGCAATTGTTTTCCGTGGCTAACTACCCATACCTGACAAGTTTTAACCCCACTACTCATAGTTTCTGATTAGGATTTCAGGAGTATGTATTTTTCTTAAAACAAATGAATATATTGAGATGTATTCTTAGTGTTATATCTTGAAGGTTGTACTTGATATACCACGTATAACGTGAGCACTAGAACGCCAGAACCCTTCCAAGTCGCAATGAGAAGACAGAAGACTAATGAAAGCAATGTTATTCACAGACAGTGTCAATTATAGTACAAAATTGTTCGGTATTTATAGTTTTTAGTAAGAACGAAATCATCATTACAGTCCTTCAGTCCGCATACAGGGGATTATTGGCATCGTCCAATCAGGAAGCTACGTGCAAGAATTCCAGAATATTGTTCCCAAAGGTGATTGGATGAAATATCTTTGGCTCCTTCTGAGCCTCCTACAGCTTCCTCAAGTTTACCCGTGGTCCGTCGTCACGCTTAGTAATAACGATCTATTGAATTACAAAATTATCATAGTTGTTATGACGAAAAATAGTGTTTTCTACTTGATTACTAAGTGTGAACACTAAGACTGCAATGCAATTACAGCGAGCTGAAAAATTCAACACCGAATGAAGTTGTTGTCCTCAATCTCACTAACTCACTACTGACTACAATCTATATATTTCATAAAACGTGTAACAAAATAATTATATCGAAGCAATCTACACAGGATACACTTCTGCCAGTAAAAAATGATGAAACTTCTGTGCTGAATGTTAACAATGCAAGGATTCAATCGCTTACTAACAATAATCTAAACGTCATATCCAATGAAGAATTTAGTAGTTATTTGAACTAAGTAGTTCAGTGTATGTTTTGCCATTAAAACTAAAAGGTACCAGATTTAAGTCTCATTGTGAACATTAACACTGGTATTCACATTCTTCTACACGACATAGGTCATAAATAGGATGAGTGCCAGGTCAATCAGCAATCAACAAGCACATTGAAATAGATCCAATTTATCAACCAATCAGGAAAATTATGCACAAATATAGGAACAAAAATCAAACCAATGGGAGACACAACCAAAACAAAGAAGTAAACAATGACAAATGTAAGGTCAATAAGAACCAACTTAACGTCAAGGTGTACAGAACAAGCTGTGAGACGCATATGGAGAAATTTGAACACTTCACTTCTATTTGAAGTTTGTGCTGATGATGTCGTTCAGAAGAACGATGAAAGCTCCACAACCAAACCATCCTGCTCAGAGAACAAAACTCCATCAAAATCATCTACCTAATCTACAAATCTTCTCCACCACAGATCCATCTATTCTATAAAAAGTACTTTATATAACTTTTTAATTGCATTCTTTTTTTTGAATAACTTACTTGTTCACATTTTGTTTGTAATTCTGGTTTATTTGAATCCAACTGATGATGATTCAGATTTGACCAAGAATTATTATTATTATTACTATTATTATTATTATTATTATTATTATTGCTACTATCGGGAATACTTATTATTGGATAATCGTCTGATAATTTACTTTCATTCAAGAATAGTATATTATTTAAATCAACCGGTAAGATGTAATTAGTATTCGTGTTATTATTATTATTATTACTGTTTTGTTCAAATTGTAAAGATTTAATAGAATTCACATCTAATTGTAGTTCATTACATCTAATTGAAATAGACGACGACGACGATGATGATGATGATGATGACGACGACGACAAAGAAGAAGAAGAAGACGAAAACGAGAACAAGGAAACAGAAGAAGTTGGCAATAATGGAGACAGTTCACTTGACAATGAATTCATTGTAGTTTTTAATGATAAATCAAATGATAATTTATCATGACTATTTATTGAAATACATTCTAATGATTGATTGATTGAATTATTATTATTATTATTTGAAAAAGTTGATAACAAAGATTCATTTTGTTGTGCGGTGATTATCGGTATTGTGAATTGTTCATCTATTGATGAAGTACTCCATAATGGTGTAACATTTGAATGTTTACACATTTCTGTTAAACTATTTGGTATATTCGGTATATTAGGTATAATTGATGTATCAGTTGAATACATTAAGCTAGATGTTATACAGGGTGAAACAATTGAATGATCATTCATAAAATTGCACATTAAATTATTTTTAGATAAATTATTATGTAATATTGTTGCCGAGGTTAAAGATGTTGTTGTTGTCATTGGTGGTGGTGGTGGTGTTGTTGTTGGTGGTGGTGGTGGTGGTTGTGGTAGTGTAAAAGGTAATGGTGATAGAATTTTCGAAGGTGGTTTTAATTGATTTGTACTTTCTTGTTGTTCAATCAATTCAGTAGAATCAGTTAATAGAATGAGGTCATCTAGTTTTTTTTTAATGAGAGTAAAACAATTATTCAATGAAATTTACTTTATTATTGTATATAATAAAATATGAAATAATAAAAATTGATTTCATTCAAGATGTACAATAATACGTCATGACAGTCATAAACACTAATCTGTTAACCGCATTCTTCTTTCAGCCTTTTTCTGGCCGAGAAAACATAGATCATCTAGTTAAACAATTTTTACGCATACAATATAAAAAATTGTACCACTATTCTGCTTTCAAAAAGATGATGATAGTTTATATCACAAATTGATTTTGAATGAAATAATTATTAAGGGTTAAGCATTCGCATGAAAGACTGATGGTTCTAGGTTTGAATCCCGCGGGCAGGATCGTGGATGCGCACTATTGAGGAGTTATATATTAGGACGAAACGGCCGTCTAGTGCTTCCAGATTTTTCATGGTGGTCGAGATTTAATCGACCCACGAATTCAACTATTAAATTATTAAAAAGCCATAAATGCTGGTTTCTGGGAATTGATTTCTTTTCTCTACACATATAATTAAGACATTATATCAAATAAGAAATTATTGATTAACCAAAAAGCATTACATAATGAGGTGGTGGAGAAGATTTGTAGCTTAGGTGGATGGTTTTGATGGAGTTTTGTTTTCTGAGCAAACCATCCAGCTCAGAGAACAAAACTCCATCAAAATCATCCACCTAAGCTACAAATCTTCACTATCTAAAATTCATATGAGCGTAGTACGCTTTTCGTTGTTCGAAAATGGGAGAATTGAACCAAAAGACAAGCTTTCACTCGAGAACAACTATATTTTCTCTATAAGTGACTTCGTTAGCATGTTTACTCAACAAGTGGAAGATACGATCCCCAATCAACTTCCCATTGGGATGGAGAATAGTACGACCAAACCAACCACCTCAGAGAACAAAACTCCATCAAAACCATTAAATAATATTGGTCAGCTTTAATTGAAGATTTTATTCAAATATATATCTACCAGATATCGAAGAGTCACGTTCAGAAGATTAAGAAAAACACAGGTCCTTGCGTTTAACTTAAGGTCACTCCTACGTCTTAATATAAAGGAAAATAAGATTCGAGAATCACTAGCCAAGATTTATCTCTTGTCAAATATAATAACTGTTCCGATATTAAACATTGAAACCCGAATGTTTGTGTCTAATTCTCATGGTCAGCTTTCTAGCTGACATCACTGTATTAAAAATAAAGCTTTTATATGAATCACTCTTGGAATAAATCCATCTGTCTACGGTAGTACTTCGATGAGTTGACGAGTACTATGTACACTTTAAACACCAACATCTTGAGTGCATTCTAGTCTTAGATATATGTCTATTCTGGAACTCTAAACGTAAAGATGGCTAGAAATAAACTGAAGAACTTATGTTTGGATGTACTGAAAATGTCTGTATTTGTACAATAATAAACAACATTGTAACTCATAAAGCGTTATGAAAAGAGGCTGCATTGAGTGATTGTTGAGTGAGAATAGACAAGGAATAAACAACCTTTGTTTAGATTTTTACTGGACATTTACAAAGAACACTGATGATTACACTAAGATTTTCTATAGCTGTCATAGGAACAAATCATTTAATGTAATTTGCTGTATTCTGACCCTCCTATCGCAAACGCAACAACAAATGCAGGAGAAGACGACCAGTGTAGCAGCAGCCTCAACAGCAGTAGGTCACAACATACACGAAGAGTAAAGCAAGATTCTCCGATACAACACAACATGCAACAATCGAATCACAATTTATGGAGAAGATTTGGAAGATGTAAAAACCTTCACATATTTGGGCAGCATCATTGATGGACATGGTGGATCTGATACAGATATGAAGGCACGGATCGGTAAAGCTAGAGCAGTATATTTACAACTGAAGAACATCTGGAATTCAAAGCAACTGTCAACCAACACCAGGGTCAAGATTTTCAATACAAATGTCAAGATAGTTCTAATGCATCAGGCTGGAACTTGGAGAACTACGAAAGCCATCATCCAGAAAATACAGGTGTTTATTGACAGCAACAACCTACTATGGGAGAGAACGAACCAGATCCCAATGGAGGAAGAAATCAGGAAGACTTGCTGGAAGTGTATAGGACACACATTGAGCAAAGCACCGAATTGCTTCACAATGCAAGCCCTCACATGGAATCCTCAAGGGCAAAGGAGGAGGAGAAAAGGAAGACCAATGAACGCATTACGTCGAGAAATGAAGACAGACATGAGAAAAATGAACAAGAATTGGATGGAACTAGAAAAGAAGGTCCAGGACAGAGTGGGATGGAGAATGCTGGTCGTTGGCCTATGCTCCATTGAGAGTAACAAGCGTAAGTAAGTAATTTGTTGTATACCTAATACTTTTCATCATGAGGCTCAATCTCGTCTCTTTATATATAGAAAAAACTATAAGGGTTCAAGGTAACGACCTAAGTATTTGAATTCGTACTATATTTACAATGCTTATCACTTGCTTGACTGAATTAGGCTTAGTGAATGGTTTTACTTACTTATTAGTCTTTATACATTTTGTTCGTTTATTTTTATTCCTCTCTTTGCCAAATCCATTATTCATTGTCTAATTATCAGAACACTTCTTACTACTTAATTTTATTGGTTGGTTTTTTTCAATTAATGTTAATTCAGTGTCTATTTTTCTGGGTAACTCATCAATTTCCTATTATGAAGCATTGATTGTGTAATGTTTATGTAATCTGTTTCCCTATAAACACTAAATCTTAAATGCCTTAATTAGAATAGTGTATTTCATACATAGACATGCCTATTACTTTATATTAGAGCAAAGCTTGATGAGGATCTAATTGAACACTAATTAGTTCATAGTTTTCACTTGATTCTCGAAGAATTTTCCAAGGTGTTATCAAGGAATCTCAGAATAATAAAAACCACTGAAAACAATTATACTAATCTTATATTCTATTATTTATAAACAAAGTTATTATCAGTTTTTTTTAAAAATCTACTAACCTAAGTGATTGATATCATTCAAAGTGCTGAAGTCCACATTTTGGTGATGATGATGATGATGTTGTTGATGTTCTGTGTAAAGTAAATTCGATGAAGGTTGCTTATCATCATCATTATTATTAATTCTGGTATTTGCTATCGTTGTTTTCTTGGTATTTGTAACAGTACTACCAGAAGTTACTTTTACCATCGCTATTGTCGCTTCTGTCAACGTCGTTGTAGATGGTATGATAAGAGACGATGATGATAATAATGGTGAGGACGTAATACAGTTGACATTGTTTATAGTAGTTTCATTATTGTCACCATTTTCCGATGATGTATTCCAATCAGTTAAATTGATATCACCGTATTTATTATTTTGACATGAATTTGGAATGATTAAACTATTGAAATGAAAAACTGTATCAGCTGGAAAATAATTAGTTGCTATGGTAGTTGTTATTCTAGGACTTGTCCTATCACTTGTACTACTATTAGTATTGTTATCAGTAATTATTCCAGTGGCTACTGAATTTATAATTAAGTCTTTATCAAGATTATTTGCAGTAATTGAATAATGAACATTATTTAAAATATTTGATGTATTCAATGATGGACTTGATGTTACGCACATAATATAATCATTTAATCGGTCATCATTAGTCACTTCTTCTTCTACATATTGTTGACGCTGTTGATGATGATGATTAGAACAAGGTGAAATAGAAGTTGAATGATGATGATAATGATGTTGCTGATGAGGAGCAAGGATTGAAGGATCTGACAGGATTTCTACCGAATCATTCGAGTTAATGTTGAATCTTTTCAAATTAATCGATTTTTCCATACAGCTTATATTGTTTTCTTTATTGTTATTATTATTATTATTATTACGATTATTATTATTATTATTGTTGTTGATATCTACAGGTTGATGTTCAGTTAGATGAGGCTTCAATTCTTTCGTTTTATTTTTAGAAAATTTATCAGGATTTAAGCGGTATTTTATGCGATGATTAGAATTATTAATTGTACTATTACCATTACTATTACTATTACTATTATTATTATCACTATGATTATTATTGTGAAACGTAGTACTATTAATATTTGTTGACCATTGTAATGCTTCAGAAGATTGTAAATGTTGTTCATGAACAATAGCTGCACGTGGAACTTTATCCAACCATCGTGGTTTACTTCCATCTTCTAAATAAACATAATTAAACCAATGTAAAATTAGTGAGTAAAATAATAATAGTAATAAAGAATATACTTTTGTTATATTCCAATGATTAGAAAAATTGTATTTCTGAAAACGTTTCGTAATTTAATGTAAACCACTTCTTCAGAGTAAATAAGCAATCGAATAGTACAAAGGAAACAATCCAGAATATTTTGGGTGCAATCAAATGCATAATTATTCTGACCTATTATGATTTTGATTGTACTAAAAATATTCCACATTATTTCATTTGTACTATTTAAACTTGGGTTAATTTAGTGTCGACTATTTATTTCCTCTGAAGAAGTGGTTCATATTAAGCTGCGAAACGTCTTCAGAAATACAATTTTTCTACTCATTGGGATGTAACCTCAAAATATATACTCATTATCAACTTTCTAGTTAATGCTCAATTAATTTGAAACTATCAAGTCCAACCTTGGCATGGATACTAATGGTAAAAGTAATAAAAATATTAATACAATTGGCAACACTATAATTTATGGACGACCTTTCAGTGACGCTAAACTGACCTTGAGAGTTTCCACCTAATAACTACGGTCAAACGACGGTTATAAACCTGTGTGAAAAATGAGAATTATTATTTACAGTTGATGAATTCGGCTTGGGGTTTTCATCATAGACTGACATGAGCTATAATGCCAGAACTCTATTTGTCCAAATAGATGAGTGAATTTGGCACCAAAAATCCGAGATCTGTCATTTTATATCTGATTGATTCGTCCACAAATTACAGTCTCGTCGAATATAATCAAACCAAAGATCTACACCAAAGCAGAGTTCAATGAAGAATGCTGGTAGGTAGCCTATGCTCTTCCATAATGGGTAACAGGTGTAAGTGAGTAAAGATCAACAAATCATGCAAAATATTTCAAAACATTTAGTCAGTGAATTAGGAATTAGTTATCTGCTGTGAATAAAGAATTTAAACCATGTTCTGTATCATCAGTGGATCTAAATTGAAATTTCTTCGTATGATCATATCTTGAAGTTGTAGCCTTTGACAAAAAAGAAAAACAGTTTCATTCTAATTTTCAGATAAACTATGATGTTCACTTAACTTTCAGTTTGTGACTATGTTAAAAGAGACTAAACTTTTGTCATAATATATATAGACGTTTCAGTGGTAATAGACAACAGATCTTTACAATGTAATAAAGTCTAATAGTTTAAATGTTGAACATAAATAAGCAACTACGCTGCTATTTTTGATGGAGTTTTGTTCTCTGAGCTGGATGGTATGGTCGTGATGACAAAATGGGAGAATCTCTCCAAAGAGCAGGCTTCCACTCGAGAACAGCTGTTTTTTTCCACTAGTGACTTTGTCATCATTTTCTACCAACAAGTGTAAGATACAGACCTCCAATCAGCTGCCCATTGAGATGGAGAATAGCCGGGCAAAGTGGAAGAAAAATGGTGCAGCTAAAGATAACGGATGCACATTACAGGATCCGCAAATGCCAACACGTCATAGAAGACCAAAAAATGAAGTTACAAAGGACGCTCACGTCAGAACAGTTGAAAATCTTGACAACAGCCATCGAAATATCATACAAACGACACAGAGAACAGAGAAAAAACACACAACCAAACCATCCAGCTTAGAGGACAAAACTTCATTAAAAATTATGCTACAAGTTTTGTACTTGTAAAGTGCTTATTAACCGTTACTACAATTTCATTTCATTAATTTATTACATAAGTTCTATGATCTCTTTGCTCAAAATATTTACTTTAATTTGTTCACTGTCAGAAACACTCGACTTCACAAAAAACGGTAGCTCAATAAATCACATTATCATGATTTAGATAACATTCTCAATAAATCGATTTCATTTGAGGTACTATTGAAAATCAAGAACAACTGGACAGTTTTTCTGTCTCATTATAGAATTCCATAACGTTCCTCATTCAAAACTCCACTTAAGTTCGAATTTACAACCTCTTTATCTCAGATGAAGACTTTAACATTTAAATCACTAAGTTGACATAAGGCGGCCTGCTTGAGCATCTGGGCTACCTGTCCCTACCACCTAGATATTTCAACAAGTTACCTATTTTTGTTTGCTTTAATATATCATTATGTCTATTAATCGCATAACCTATTCTGCTACGTTTCTGAAAAGTGTACAACCTTTCGTTATCAAAGTTACAAAAAGCTCAATAAAAGATAAATGTGGTTGCTGGCAATATACAACGAAAAAAATGTACATTATTCAGATGTTCATTTACTGGACTGCTAACATCTAACTGGTGATCACTCAATATTTATCGCCAGGACCGACCAGGAAGAAAGAAACGGAAACCTGTTGAAATACTTTGTGCTGAGAATTCTATATTGTACTCATAATATAATAGTGAATAAAGCTAATAATAAAAAAAAGATTTACATTTGAAACTGCAATCGATTCACTATGTTAAGCGACTATCCTCTGTCGCTACTGGTGGTTCTTATCTCGTTGAATGTTTAAATTTCACCAGTTCCAATATACTAGAACTTGTTGAATTATCCATTGAAGTTGATTGTTAGTAAGCTAATGATGATCTTGCATTGTAGAAGGTTATGAACATTGAACCTTCATAAATATAAATCAGCAAAATGCTAGGAACCATACAGATCATGTATAGATAAACTGTGACTGTACTTACAAATTTAAACCCTAATAAACGGACCGTTGTCTGCAAGTATGGCCTATTTATTTAAATTTTAATGTTTCAGTGGATGCGAATGAAATAATCGTGTTAATAAAAGTACATCAGTTTAAAAATATACTGAAGGAGAGTTTTTAAAGTTGAATAGTTTTAAATGCTTCACTTTACTTACTTTTACGAACTTGTATAAGGTCTGGTCTCATACCAACTCGAAAACATTGTTTTAGTCTACACGATGGACATTCGCGACGAGTAGTTGGTGTGATTACATGTTCTCCGGATTTCGCTGTACATGTTAATTCCTAAAAAAGCAAGAAAAATAATTATTTCTCACGTAAATTAACATAGCTGGAATTATCAAACAGGGTTTTGTGGAGATTTTAGTAATTTCAATAGTTGAAATCATGAGTCAATTGAAGCTAGACCACCATGGATCACGTGGAAGCACTGGATAACCGTTTCATCCTGGTGTGGGACTCCTCAGCAGTGTGCATCCACGATCCCGATTCGAACCCAGGACCTGTCAGTCTCGCGCGCGAGTGCTTAACCACTGGACCACTGAGCCGTCCGGCATCTGACGGTGTTAACGTCTAACCTCGACCAATCCACAAAATTGCACCACCGTACACCATTTTCTTCAGTGAGCTGATATCTCACAACAGACCTGGTCGAACTTCACTGGTAAAGGCTGGAATTGTATTTGTTCGTTTGTATAACCCTGATTTGGATTGAAATCTCTAAATTAATTACAAAAATATAATAGATAGAGTCAAAGTATAAAGAAATGAAGAAGACAGGAGTAGAAGTAGAAGTAGTGAACATTTATGAAACCCAAGACATATATTACAAGTTATGCGAGATTTATGAAATGGATGTAAATAAATTGATTACTGTATTCAAATTTATATTGATAAACAGTTTTCAGTCATTAGAACATTTCACGCTCAGAAAAGTGCTGATCATTGTAATTCAGTAGATATGAATTCATTCAAATGATTCGTGTTTCTCTTAATATAAGTATCGATATGGGTTTAGGTAAAAAAACAGTTGAAGTTCCAACCAACATCAAAGTCTTAAAATCCCACTATATATAAATAAAATCATCGATTAGAAACTTGCATGAATTCGTGTCTTCCCAGTTTTGTTACACAATATGTTTGAAGGAAATGTGGTGAAAGATAGATGTAAGTCGATAGGGGGAGAATACATGAATACGAAGAGTAGAAGCATTTAAATCTATTTGTTTTATTTTATCCTTGTTTGGCTGGTCCTTAACCGGTAACTTACCGGTTAAGTGACTAATACTAAGATGTATACATATTCTCGAATGAAACACTCACTTATTTCATTAATTTTTACGGTGTCCTAGATTATTTATCCGTTACAAGCTGATTGATAAATAACACAATCTGTGTAGGTTTATAGTTTCATCAACTGATTTGCTTGAAGTAATTAAAGGGTTTGAGTCAAATCTCAACACTGTTCACTTAGTGACTTTAACATAGTAGTGAATCATACTAAATACATCTATACTTGACTAATATAGCACATCGATTATTCTTTCTGGTTATATCGTAAAACTGAAGGATAAAAAGAAAGTAAATGTCGTACAGGCTTCTTAATAATAGGTAAATAAAAAACGACTAACTTGGGTCTTAGACCTATTCTTTTCTGCATAGATTCTAAAATTAGAAGCCAACACTACCGGAATGATTTGACTTTTGAAATATGAATAGGGAATAAACCTTAGTGAATCCCTTTTAAAATTTTGAAACTGTGAATTGTATACAAAACGTATTTACTTCACTTTTTCATTGGTATCACCTAGTTGAACTGTCATAAATATAGTTTGGTAGTTTTTGAGACTATATTAACATAATCAATATACTTGTACTTATCAAAGAAATATTTCTTATAAGATAATCTATAGTAGGATTGAATACTTCAATTGTCTCAGGTTCTAAACAAAGTTCTAACGTTCCAACGTTTTAACAGTTCGACGTTTGGTTTATTGAAAAAGTACTTGAAATGGCCTTTACCTGAATTTCAATAGTTTTTGTCCAATCAGTTACAAGAAAGCATTGGTTAAAACACTATTTCTCAGGGTAGAAAGGAAATGTACCATCGACAAACTGGAAGAATTAATGAACGTGGAAAAATATCTGAGACAAATTTTACCCACAAAGGTTTATTGACAAATATAGAAAGCCTAAAGAAAACAAGACGGAAATAATTACGGACAATAAAAAATCAATATCTATAAATTCTAACTTCAAAGGTAATGATGTCACATACATAATCAACATGAGGCTGAATACTGAGCTAGCCAGAATTTATCCGGCTGCCAAACTTTTACTTCTGTTTAAAACAACGTGTTCAATAACTCAATAAAAGGTCAACAGACACCCCTTCAATGGTACTGCCAACTGTATTTATAAATTTACGTGTACCTGCCAAAGCAGCTATACTGGCCGAACAGAAAGGAGGGCAAACCTTAGATTTTTCTCAACATATTCCAAAATGTCTCAGAACAAGGGGAAGAAAGAATCTAAACAGTACAATCATCAAACATTTCCTTGATACAGGACTATGCTCTTTTGCATAATATATATATATTTACAATATTCAGTCTATTGAATCTATTTACACCCTTTATATCCTATACGAATATGTCTTCAATATAACGTCCAATCAAACGCTTTCATGTAAGTAATTTGAACCCATTATGTAATTATGATTCTTAAATATCACAGGTTGTAAGCAGCTGACGAGAATCTACGAAATAAAAATGAATTCATACTATTCTGCTAGAATCTTTGTTTTTACTCTTTTCATAATGATAAAGGGAACTGTGGTGTATGAAAGCTCTAACTGCTAACCTCGTAGAAATAAAGACGCATATCTTTTGAACTTGTTCTGACTAACTTTTAGTATGTTACATTATTTTCTATGGAATAATTTACTGCAATCTCTTCACCTAACCAAAATACTACTATCATTTATTCATATTATCAATTTGAACTTTAGCTTGGATAATGAATTAGATATGCTAACACCTTTGACTATAATCCATCTTACAAGTTAAACTATAGGGTAATAAAGTGTTCAGTCATTGTTATTACTTAGCTTCATTATTAGATTTCCTTTTATGCAAATATTTTACCTTTACACTGTCCTTAGTGAGTGAAACTAATTTAAATAACATCTATCCCATTGAATAGATTATAAATCAACTTGGAACTTGTATAACAACAAACTTGTCAAATTAAGATTTGCTGCTTCTGTTTTGTACACCCTCTTATTAATGATTATGAAATATTGTGAAGCTTCCAGTGATTATACTGCACATTTAATTGGTATCATCAAATAAAAAATGAACGATATCAGTATGTAAAACTGAATAAACTTAATCTTGCAGTAGGTAGATTGTGACAGGAATAACTCAGTGGTAACGTTTCAATCTATACAGCGGGATGGCCGTAGTTCGAGCCACAATAAAAACATTAATATCTTCAAGATCACATCTGCGTTTTGCTGACAGGTTTCAACTAGCAAGAAACATAGATCTAGAGTTTCCTGTTGACTACCTCTAAGCATCTAAAATATAAATATTACCGATGGTTCCCAATCCCCTCCAGTTATGTCTAATTTATCTAATAAAGAACTATTTTATTGATGAGACAAAATTTCGCAAGCCAACTTAATAAACTCATAATTATTTTAACAGTTGAATTCATGAGTCATTTGAAGCTAGACCACCATGGAAAAGCTGGATGCACTGAATGGCCGTTTCGTTCTATTGTGGGACTTCTCAGCAGTGCACATCCACTATCGCACCTCGCATCACTAAGGTTTATCAGTGCAATGTAAACATACTGTTGTATTCATGATTCAACTGTATTTTTCTTAAAAAAGATCTTCCATTTATTCACAAAACAACATGGTCAATGAATATAAACAATTTTATGAAGAAATCTTTGTTTTCAACAGCTCTTATTGTTTAAAATATCAATACAAACCAGTTGTGTGTGTGTGTGTCACACTAATAAACATCCATTTAAAGCCTAAAAGTAGCTTATCAACCAAACTGGGTAGGGAATTTCATCAAGTGGTATATACGTGATAAGTACTAGTTAACAAACAATAGACTTGAAAGCTCAACATTTCTGAGCACTACTATTTACATACATCAGTGCTTCAATTACTATGATATTATAAACACTAGGGTAAGTGATAAGCATCAGTTCACTTGAGATAAGAGATACATCAAGCAAACATGTACCAACTAGTAAGAAACCTGGATTCTCTTCATTTATAATATCTAGGTGATTATATACTTCATTCATGAACTAATCATAATCAATTATCATGAATGGTATTCACTCTGATATTGTAAATAGTTGTAAACTGTTATTATATACGTTATCCTAGTTCTATTGAACTAGTAAATAGTGACATTTCAATATACATCTTTTACATAACTAAGTATTTAAACTGTTTATGATAGTCATAGTAGTATATCATATATACCATGAAGATAATGTCCAAGAACTAATTTCAGTCGTCTTGTTGTTACATGAAGTTAATAATAGTAATGGTAATAATAACAAAAAAATGATAAGACGTTGGTTACTTAAAACCAGGTGGACACGTAGATATCTGTATTAAACAAATTCACTTTAGCTTGAAAAATCAATTCACATATACAAAGAATGTGAGAGACAGAGAGTAAGGTAAACTTAAACTGAACACTATCATAAACAATGCTTATTTTATTACCAAATTCAACTAGATAAATAAAAGCAAATATATTCATCTTATCATAAAGATTTTATTAAGGTATGTATATATGTATATCTACCTGTGTATATCAATAGAATGAACGAGACATACTTTAAGCATGATAGAAATAAGGTATCATGATAACAGTTATCGTAAGTAATCAATTGACGACTATGCAGCCTGATAATGATCTATATATGTACGGTCGACGTAACAAGACTTTATTCCAGCTTGAATACTGAGTAAAATCATAGTTTTCTTCTTGTCTATTAGTTTGGCGCCAATTAACTGCTGAGGAGTCCCACAATAGAACGAAACGGCCGTTCAGTGCTTCCAGGTTTCCAAAGGTGGTCTAACATCAATCTGTTCATGATCTCAATCAAAAACTTAATAATCTCCACAACCCCTATACTAGTCATTAAGACGTTCACTCTCCATTATTCTGTATATTAAACAAAGACAAATACTTCCAGTGACGAAATCTCAAATGGTTAAAATGCAATTCACCTATTTGCTGAAT